TTCAAACAAATATACAAACAACAAAGACGTTATTTCAATCCCATTTTTTATTAATTTCTCATATAAAACTGTTACTCCCTGATTGATGTAGTTTGAAGAGGAGACTCATCAGTTGGAGCAATAAGTGAACTATATCAAAATACATACATACAGACACACACACGCACACATACACCACCCCCAACACAGGAGTGCCATCGCCGTGGAGGCTGTCCAGGATTGGGCGTGTCGCTTGCATGGGAATCACAAAATAAGAAAATACACTGATATGTTGCCAAAATTATCAGACAGCAAGCTCATAGTAGTAAGTGTTGGTAAGCCAATTAATGATCACTGATATTCTTATGATCAAACAATTGGAATTGAGATAATTGAATCCAGTTTGGCATAAGCTGAAAATTAATGTGACATTTTCTTCGTAACATTAAGAATTTCTTATTTATTTTTTTATCGTAAAAGGTATTCCAAAATATTTTAAAATGTTTGAAGAACCCAAACAATTAATGTAAGAATTTGTGGCTTATCAAATCTTTAACAAACATGGATTCTGGTACCGGGTCTCTGTGAGCTTGTCGTCATTCTCCCAAACCAAAGCTAAAATGTTGAGCGAACACTAAACACCTAAGTGTGAAAATGAACACAATATTAAATAAATTAGAAACAAAATAAATAGAAGTGGAGTTGAGAGCCATTACATACACAAATACCTTAAAGCCATTGTAGATGCATTGAATCAAGGAAATGATCAAAGTCATTGTGTTAACAGATAACTGAAAATATGTAAGTAGTACTCACTTGTTTCTCATACATGACAATTTGTTTGCCTTGTAATATTAGAATTGAGCAGTTCATAATCTGATAAATAAATTTAACATTTGAAAACAGGAAATTAATCATTTCATGAACAAATGTAGGCATGAAATAAAGCAAAATTGATATTTTTAACTTAAATGAGGTATATGTAAATAGATAAGTAATAAATAAATAACAAACAAATCAATATAAGCTTGGTGTTGTCTTCTGTTGTATGTCTACTGTTAATGAAGTAACTATCACAAGTGAGCTATGTGTAACACAACAGTTGTCTCCCCTTGAACCGTCACAGGGACTACATTCGTTCTCAAGAACCTTTTACCTGATGTAAGCTGATTACATTGTGTGGAATATCGGTCATGAATAGATTTTGATAAATGGGTTTTCTTCATCGCTCATATTTAAGCAGAGGTTATAAAAACTACATGTAACTAGAGTTGAGCGATTGTTGAGGAAGAAACCATTTTAATTTAAAGCAACGAAACTTTGTAGCAAACTGTAGAAAAAACATACCACCAGATCTCCTGTCTCTAATATTATGATATTTCCTTTTTAGGTATTTTTTGAAGAGGTACTTTTTCAGAAATTAAAATTACTAAAATTACTTTTGTAATGACAGTGAAATTCTGTATCATTCTGAAAAGGGGTACTCTTTTCCATAACCATACTCCATTGTATCCCTTGACAATGTAAAGAGAGCCATGTAATGTCGGACTTTGTAATTTACTAAGCACTAACTGCTAAACTGATGTTCATCTAAAACTTGAGTTCTTCGAGAGACTTGACTCATGCAATCAAAGGGGAGACAACCCACTTTTCATTCAATAATTTAAAAACAATATTGCACTCGTAAACATATCACATGGTGTCTTCAAGGCTTAAAAAGTGGTGTAAAAGTAAAAACATTGAAATAAAAGGTCCACTATTCATATTTCTATACATTAACCATAAATAGTGTTCTTCAAGACAGATCAACGACGGGGGAAAAACATACATATTTTTCATTTTGTCAGAAATACCAAAAACCTTTACCATAACATAATGATTTTGAATGACACTTGATCAACCCATTACCATTTACAGTAAAAAGATATCTTACTTGGACAGGGACACAGTGGACATTTTACTTCCATTCGTAAAGTCAATACGTGAACAGTAAATAATGGTCAGATGAACAAACAATAAACAGGTGTCCTAGTGCATTGGAACATTGACTTAATTGATAAAATAGTGGGCATTTATGTCTATTCAGTGAAAAAATCCCCAAACCAGACATTGTACTTTGGTACCATAAATAACGTGTATATATAATATATATATAAATTTGATCTTTCATCTACCATCATATCTAACAGTATACATATTTTGCTTATTGGGAATTCCAATTCAAAGAACAACTATTTCTTAAATTTTATATTATATACATATAATTTTTAAATAATGTAAATCTGAAAAGCGACCTGTAAACTGTAAACTACAAATTTAACACCTTCAAATATTAATGTGAAAAGATAATTTGAAATCCCCAGAAGATATGTGTCCACAGACACTTCCTTGTCCCTCCATACACTCAATACAGAATTCATCAGGAGCTGTATCTGTGACATTTTACACATAAGTTGAAACATTACTTATAGTGAATTAGTGAGTATGGTTTTATGCCGCTTTTAGCAATATTCCAGCAATATCATGGCGGGGACACCAGAAATGGGCTTCCCGCATTGTACCCATGTGGGGAATCAAACCTGGTGTTTTGTGTAAAGAGTGGACGCTTTTACCATTAGGCTACCCCACCGTCCAAAACATAACTTATATATACTCTTGACCATAACATTAGTACCAAGTCCCCAACGTTTAAAGCAACTTGAAATATATATTACATCATTTCACATTCTTGTATTTAATGGACAAGACATTCTCATTTGAATACTTAAAATAAAACAATCTTTAAGATGGAAATATTTTGTGAAACTGAGCTTTTTATCATTTTATAAAGTGTAAAAAAGGTCTGTCTGTACTATCAGTCTACAGAGTGGTGAGAAAGCTCATTTGTACACACAAGACAACAACGTAGACAAAGTAGAAATTTACAAATGCATATTAAACTCTGCAAGGCAAAAAGGTGATAGGAAATTGTTTACAGTTTGGAACCAGAGTATACCCAAAATACAGTCTCATAGAGCAAGAGGAAATACTTTTGTCATATTTCTTACCACACTGTGAAATAGTCATCAAAACTGTTTGTGAAGAGTTAGGTTCTCTCACAACCTTGAAAATTAATCAATTAGAAAATTTTAGAAAAATTCATTCCTGTCTGAAATGTTTCCTGAAGTGTAATATAACATAAAATATTACCCAATTGTTGATAAAGATATTTTGTATTTTTCCATGATATACAAAAAACATTCTCAGAATATGGTACCGGTAAATGAATATCTGAATATATCTGTCACATCTCATTATTCCTGACAATTGTTGAGTAGTATAAATGGTGTAAATTACTTACACTTTTGAAACACACATTACAACATGGTTATCAATTATTCTTTGAAATATTGATAAAATCTTTGCATGTCTACAACATCTGACTGTGATTTGTTTGACCTTATTTTAAGATACCACCCTGGTTTCTCTGTCAGTGCTTGAGAGTGATTAATGTGACAGTGTTCAAGCAAATAAAACCACATGTAACATATATTTAAATAATACAAAATCTTAGAAAAAATGAAAAAGTAAAGCCTTATTAATTTTCTGACAAAATTTACATTTCATGACAATATATATCTCTTGCATATTTGCTATTTTCATACCACAATAAGATCAGTCCAGTGCATATAGTTAATTTAAGATTGAAGAATTTGTTTCAAGGATCATTAGAATTAAGATTATCAACAAATTCATTTTCATTTGAATTTAGGAAATACTACCATAAATCAGATAAAAAACAAAACATTTAATCTATACCTGCTGGATAATTCTTCAAAACAAACTGAAATGTCCTTTAGTACACTCAGGCAAATGAATAATTTTTTATCAAACATCTTACTGGAGTCCATGTTGGAAATGTAATACTACCAGAGAATTGCTTTCTTCACATAGTCTTATCACTGAATCTTCATCAATTTCTATAGAATTCCTTCCACAGAGTAATTACTTTCGAACTGTCCCACCCCTGAATGAATTCTTCATGTGGTCCAACAACCAAACGCATTTTTTTTGGGTACTAAAACTGAATAAATAACATTAGTTTCAAGTAGTCCTCGCCCTGAGCCAGTTTTCTATGTAGCCCTACCCTGAACCAGTTTTCTATGTAGCCCTACCCTGAACCAGTTTTCTATGTAGCCCTACCCTGAACCAGTTTTCTATGTAGCCCAACGTTGAACCAGTTTTCTATGTAGCCCTACCCTGAACCAGTTTTCTATGTAGCCCTACGTTGAACCAGTTTTCCATGTAACCCTACCCTCAACCAGTTTTCTATGTAGCCCTACCCTGAACCAGTTTTCTATGTAGCCCTACCCTGAACCAGTTTTCTATGTAGCCCTACGTTGAACCAGTTTTCTATGTAGCCCTACGATGAACCAGTTTTCTATGTAGCCCTACCCTGAACCAGTTTTCTATGTAGCCCTACCCTGAACCAGTTTTCTATGTAGCCCTACCCTGAACCAGTTTTCTATGTAGCCCTACGTTGAACCAGTTTTCCATGTAGCCCTACCCTGAACAAGTTTTCAATGTAGTCCTACCCCTGAACCAGCTTTCTATGTAGCCCTACCCTGAACCAGTTTTCTATGTAGCCCTACCCCTGAACCAGTTTTCTAAGTAGCCCTACGTTGAACCAGTTTTCTATGTATCCCTACGTTGAACCAGTTTTCTAGGTAGCCCTACGTTGAACCAGTTTTCTAGGTAGCCCTACCCTGAACCAGTTTTCTAGGTAGCCCTACGTTGAACCAATTTTATTCATGTAACCCTACCCTGAACCAGTTTTCTATGTAGCCCTACGTTGAACCAGTTTTCTATGTAGCCCTACCCTGAACCAGTTTTCCATGTAGCCCTACGTTGAACCAGTTTTCTATGTAGCCCTACCCTGAACCAGTTTTCCATGTAGCCCTACCCTGAACCAGTTTTCTATGTTGCCCTACCCTGAACCAGTTTTCCATGTAGCCCTACCCTGAACCAGTTTTCCATGTAGCCCTACCCTGAACCAGTTTTCTATGTAGCCCTACCCTGAACCAGTTTTCTATGTAGCCCTACCCTGAACCAGTTTTCTATGTAGCCCTACCCTGAACCAGTTTTCTATGTTAGCCCTACCCTGAACCAGTTTTCCATGTAGCCCTACCCTGAACCAGTTTTCCATGTAGCCCTACCCTGAACCAGTTTTTCCATGTAGCCCTACCCTGAACCAGTTTTCTATGTAGCCCTACCCTGAACCAGTTTTTCTATGTAGCCCTACCCTGAACCAGTTTTCTATGTAGCCCTACCCTGAACCAGTTTTCCTACCTGAACCAGTTTTCCATGTAGCCCTACCCTGAACCAGTTTTCCTATGTAGCCCTACCCTGAACCAGTTTTCCATGTAGCCCTACCTGAACCAGTTTTCCATGTAGCCCTACCTGAACCAGTTTTCCATGTAGCCCTACCCTGAACCAGTTTTCCATGTAGCCCTACCTGAACCAGTTTTCTATGTAGCCCTACCCTGAACCAGTTTTCTATGTAGCCCTACCCTGAACCAGTTTTTCTATGTAGCCCTACCTGAACCAGTTTTTCTATGTAGGCCTGAACCCTGAACCAGTTTTCTATGTAGCCCTACCCTGAACCAGTTTTCCATGTAGCCCTACCCTGAACCAGTTTTCTATGTAGCCCTACCTGAACCAGTTTTCTATGTAGCCTACCCTGAACCAGTTTTCTATGTAGCCCTATGTTGAACCAGTTCTATGTAGCCCTACGTTGAACCAGTTTTCTATGTAGCCCTACCCTGAACCAGTTTTCCATGTAGCCCTACCTGAACCAGTTTTCTTTTCCAGTTTTTCCAAGTAGCCCTACCCTGAACCAGTTTTCCATGTAGCCCTACCCTGAACCAGTTTTCTCCATGTAGCCCTACAGCTGAACCAGTTTTCTATGTAGCCCTACCCTGAACCAGTTTTCCATGTTGCCCTACCTGAACCAGTTTTCCATGTTGCCCTACCTGAACCAGTTTCCATGTAGCCCTACCCTGAACCAGTTTTCCATGTTGCCCTACCCTGAACCAGTTTTCCATGTTGCCCTACCCTGAACCAGTTTCTATGTAGCCCTACCCTGAACCAGTTTCTATGTAGCCCTACCCTGAACCAGTTTTCCATGTTGCCCTACCCTGAACCAGTTTCCATGTTGCCCTACCCTGAACCAGTTTTCTATGTAGCGCTACGCTGAACCAGTTTTCTAGGTAGCCCTACCCTGAACCAGTTTCTATGTAGCCCTACCCTGAACCAGTTTTCCATGTTGCCCTACCCTGAACCAGTTTCCATGTTGCCCTACCCTGAACCAGTTTTCTATGTAGCCCTACGCTGAACCAGTTTTCTATGTAGCCCTACCCTGAACCAGTTTTCCATGTTGCCCTACCCTGAACCAGTTTTCTATGTAGCCCTACCCTGAACCAGTTTTCCATGTAGCCCTACCCTGAACCAGTTTTCCAAGTAGCCCTACCCTGAACCAGTTTTCCATGTAGCCCTACCCTGAACCAGTTTTCCATGTAGCCCTACGCTGAACCAGTTTTCCATGTAGCCCTACCCTGAACCAGTTTTCCAAGTAGCCCTACCCTGAACCAGTTTTCCAAGTAGCCCTACCCTGAACCAGTTTTCCATGTAGCCCTACCCTGAACCAGTTTTCCAAGTAGCCCTACCCTGAACCAGTTTTCCATGTAGCCCTACCCTGAACCAGTTTCCCATGTAGCCCTACGTTGAACCAGTTTTCCAAGTAGACCTACCCTGAACCAGTTTTCCAAGTAGACCTACCCTGAACCAGTTTTCCAAGTAGACCTACCCTGAACCTGTTTTCCAAGTAGACCTAGAACAGAATCAGTTTCAACCCCACCTAGATCATTAAATTAGTTTTTTTTCAAGATCACTAAATCAAATTTTAAAATGTCTTACCCCTGAATACCCCTGTTTCAACAGTAAACACACCTGATAATGATGTATCAGTAGTTACTTTCTATCACAGATAAACAATAACACATACTAACCAGACCTATTATCACTGTTTTCAGTTGAATAAAAAAAAAGGTTTTAAAGAATTCATCCAGCAGGTTTGTAAACAAAACAATTGCACGGGTCAGTGTGTAAGAAAACAGAACTGGAAAAGCTTGCACATAAACAAGCCACAATGCAAGAGACTACAGCCATCAGGTGCCAATCATTCTCTTTGTGACTTTAACGATAGTATTTACATCTGCAATTTGCTGGAAAATCTGATCACATAAAAGAATGCAATAATATAATGTAAGTTATGGTGGTTACAAGATCTGAAATTTGTGCAAACATCTGTGCTGGCACAATTTAGGCATTAAATTAACTGGTAACAGTATTAAAGAATTCACAAAAGCTCAAAAAACTTGATGTGCATCAAGAGTCAATGAAATGTGAAAGAATGACCGGGAGTAACAATGGCCGATGATAATGAAACTGACGTGCATAATGTCGTCTATATACATATGTTACAATTATGTTTATTATACATCAAGTGTAAAAATAATCTGTTCATCAGTGTAGGTGAAATGAATATCAGGAAGTCATACTGGTCAATTTTTCTTACGATTTTCTCCTATTTCGGGAGGTGACTTATCACAATGTCCAAATGTACATCACTATTAGATAAGAATTTGAATTAATGTTTATGTCCTAAAAAGAAAAAGACATGGTGTAAAGAAACCATATTTTTATATTGACAAATTTGGATTGAATTTCTTTCTCATAATGATTAAAATATCAGTTTGTTGTAAAGGCGCTATGGTGAAACTGCTCTGAGGAAATGCCTCATAAATCTTTACCAAATATTGGAAAAAATATTGAAAATATCTTTCCCAAATATAATTCAATTTCAGGTGAAAATCAGAAAAATCATCCAGTATCATATAAATATGAATCTTACAAAAACCTCATTTTGTGGTTTTGGCAGAATTGCTCACATTTATGTACATCATAACAAGTTGCCATTATTAGATGCATTTCTAATGAGGACACTACAGACTTGTTCAAAACAGTTGTCAATAGCTGACATTTAAGTGTCAATTTCATTCTGATGATCACTGTTATAAACATAACTATTAACCTGTGATTCATAATGTTTAGTATAAAACAAATGAGCTTCAGTACTTATTTTCTTAAACATTTCACTTACAAAGTGAGTGAGTGAATTGGGTTTACATCCGTTTTAAATAACATTCACTTATATCACAGCAAGTCAGCCTAATGAAGGCATAAAGCCGTAGGTCATAGGTCGCAACAGCTTTGGTAAAACCCAAAACACTGGATGGAGCTGAAAAACCATGGACCTGGTCAGGGTGACTTATGGATTCAAACCCGACCAGTGGATCCAGGCACAGCCAAGTGTTGCAACTCTTGGATTACAAAGACACGGTGAAATACCATAGAAGTGTTTTTAACAAGTCTGCCATCAATCACATAAGTAATCAATTGCAAATGTGTGTGCGAATATTGGGAAACAGCTGAAAGACATGTCGTGATTGTAACCACACTTAATTTATTTTTCTTGTACATTGTTAATTTCACTGGCATCAATCAGGATTATACATGACACATACGATTGTCCATTTCACATCAGAACCGATGCAGCATCCACATCCAAGAAATTAAACATTTAAAAAAAAAAAAATAAAAAATAAAAAATCACACTGTTTGTACAAGGACAATCATACAACCTTGAACCGGAATCAAACAATCATTTTCATAACCGTCAAATGAAAATTTCACGCTGCTCTCTCCACGACCTTGTTTCAGAGTTAATCTCCATCGTTTTGAAAGAATGTATATATCTTCATAAACATAATGCCATGTGTAATTCAAATTCACACATTATTCACTCACTAAAACTGGCACACAAAAAACACAAGTTGGAGTTGACATTCGTCAAACATATTCATGATGTTCATAGCTTCCGCTCTGCTCGCACATTTCAGGTTCATTGCTATGTGACCTGTCGTCCACATGGTCATGTGAAACCGAGGACAGGTCAGGAGTGTCAACAGTGGCGCCATCTAGCATGATCCTCGGAACACATAACAAAGTTTCAGTACATTGAGACACGGAAGGCTCGTTGGGTGGACTGAGAGAACCCTCACCCAGTTCGAAACTGGAATTATCAATGCCTGGCTGGCAAGTAGTCAAATCAGGCATCTGTATATGGACCCCTGATAACGAGGTGATACCCACCAACGGGTCCTCCTCTGTCTTAAAATTGGAATGGCAACCGATCTGCTCACTGTCAGTTAATGGCGAGTCTTTTTCAGAGTCTTGGACTAAATTTGAACTTGAATTCGATGAATCAAATGGATAACTGTCTTCTTGGCATTCAGATGCATAGGAACACGAGTTCAATGAAGTCAATGTTGGTCTCACGTCATCATCGTCGTCGTCATCTCCTGTAATTTTCATCACCTCCTCGTCACAAGCAGCTTCCAACTCTGCCCAATCGTTGATTAAAGAATCATCCAAGTCAGAACCAGTTTCCCCACTACTCTGTTGTGTTTTCATTTCATCCTTAGAGTGCGTGATATTCGTGTCTGACGTTTTTGTTGTTGAGGTCCGTACTAAGGGACTCGCCACAGTGTCAGTTCCTGTTGTGTCTGAGCTCGATAACGCTCGGTGGAGATACTTGTCCCTGAACCGACTGTACTTGGCACCACTACTTCTGCTTCTCAGCATGTGTTTTTTTAACAAACGATGTTTCGGGGAATCAAACTCTGGCTCAGGACACTGCTGCAGAGATTCCTGCTTCACAGGCAAGGTGGGATGAGACTGGGAGAAACCCTTGGGCTGGGCTTTCTTCACCTCGTCCTCGAATGTCTGCCAGACGGAGGGAACACTACCATGAAGCTGATTCCCTGAACCTATGTCCACACTGTACTGCTTAACAAGTGGGCGTCTGCCTTGCCGGGAAGATGTGGCAAGATTCCTCCCATCTGACAGCAACCTCTTGTCCATCCTCGACACAGGAGGACTTGGGATCTTCGCCCTCATCATCGGCGGTGAGTCCAACTTGTCCAGGATAGATCGGTTACTCGGGGAACATGGATGTACGATGATGGGTGCCGGGACTGTTCCAACCTGGTGCTCCATGCTCACCACTGTGATGGCAATTTTGGCAGGGGACAAATTGTGGGCTGAAGAAAACCAAAAGGAAGAACATAAATCTCAAATCACCACAACCTTCCCCTTAGGTTCAGATTCAATATAATGACCCCAAGAACAAGGGAATAATCTTATGCCTTGAGAGTTAATATTGGCATTTAGCCAAGGGTAAATTGAAAGTTGAAAGTACAAATATTTCAAAAACAATTTTGATTTCAAATTCCAAAGTAGATTTTTAATCATCAAGTCAAACAATTATGATATCTAGCTTCACAATATCTACTTGAGCACCTAAAGTTAAAATCAGTATGCCCCACTGCACCTAAAGTTAAAACCAGTATGCCCCACTGTTCCTCCCCATGTATAACTTCCCTCAGCCCAACCCCGACAATGATCACATCTCTATTCCCGACAGAACACCTCAACACTGTGTGCTATATAACATATGATCAGTCACTCGCAAGATACATATTTACAATGAACACTGAAAAATAAACACGTAAGTAGGCTACATACTTCAACAAGGCTTATGGTATATCTTACATACCGCCAACAAAATCATTAATATCAAAAGAACATTCCAACCAAATGAAGGCTATACTTACGTTAAAATGACATTCCTAGTAATTTTTCGACCTAAACTGAACACAATCTGCTTAGTGTCTGGGCTTTGTGGACTACAGTGAGATTACCCTCGGAAGTAAACACGGCTGACGTTATGTCATCCTCGTAGACATGTTTAGACCAATAACTAGCTACAAGCTCCCTGACATACACCTGCATGCAATACTGAGTGTAAGATATTGATTAATTGATGAGAGCTGGGAGAATGACCTCAATATTGATAAGATAGGTTCCATGTAGAAAAACAAAGTTTGGAGATCCTTCAACAGGATCGTTACACCATGGACACCGTTATAGACTAAGAATTTGTTTCTTGGAGATATGCTGTCAGTGCCTAGCAACGGTCTGGAGAACCAGGATACCAAACACTCAGTGCCCACTCTCATAACAGTTTGAACTGGGAATCAAATATTTATTATGTAAATATGTCTATGGAATGTAAGCTCAGTACAATGCAGCAGAAAAATGGCAGTGTGGATTAAACACTTTTCACTATTAGTTTGACCTGTTTCTTGCAACATACATGTACAGTTTAGGAAGACTGTTAAAAGTTCATTTTCAAGTAAAAATAAAAAGAATAAAAAATATCCCTCAAATCTTATATTTTATATGCCCTCTACAGAAACTTTAATGATATCTTATGTATCTATGTATTTGTTATTACCTTACAAAACACCATTGATGTTATATATATATATTGTCTTTTATGTCATATGTATTTCATCTGAGACTTGAAATGGAATAATAAATAAATAAATGTCAATTTTGTATGGAATGAGTTCGCTACATTCACAGTATGAGGTGTAACAACATGTGAGCAGAGCATCACGAGAACACTACAGTCACATGTGTTACATGTACTCGATTAACAAACCAAAGTTTAGTGCCCTTATAAGTTACAGTTTGCCATTTTGACATTAATTTTTTAAGCCGCTTACTCATGTTTGCAAATCTTTCATGAAAATCAAGTGACTGGTTTTCATGCTAGAATTTTTGAAAAGCAGGCTGGCATCTTTAAAAAGAATTATAAACATGTTTAAAAACATTAAATCCATTTTGGGGGGCAAAATCAGCCTTTCTAATTCACTAGCAACTTGGTGCAGTGGGTGGGTGTTAAATGATGCAGTTATCTCCATGAAAACATACTTCACTGTCTGTGTACTGTCAATGTTTCTAATATGACAGTTCACCTTTGCTTTTTACCATAATTCACCACATAAGCAACAACAAAAATCCAATCCAAATAACATTTTTTTTAAACTATATCATTGCATTATTGAACATATAATGTATAATTCTTTTACTTTGTTTACAAAAAAGTCTTCAACATTTGTATGACTAAACAATGCCTTAAGAAAATGTTACATTTGACATTTGTATATCATACGGGTGACTACTGGAGACATTACGGTAATAAGAAGCGGAACTGTCAAAGCCATGCGTGATCCTTACAACCAGATTATGTTGGTGACCTTCACGGGGCAATATCTATATGGATTAGTAGTCTCAGAGATTAGGTAATAATCTAGGTGAAATCAATTATGTAATATCAAAGTTTCAATATATAGCATGCGTGTACCTGTCTTCAAAACCTCACAGGTTGTACATAACTGTGTCACCTTGAACTTGTATGGATTCTTGTCAAATGAATGAGACACTTGGGATTACACGTCTTTTTAAATGTACAAATTAGGCCAGACCAATTTTATTTCTTGTTTTACAGATTTTTGTCCTCAGGAGAGAAAAAAATAAAAAATAAAAATCACTAGTCAAAAGTATTTTATTTTTGGCAATTTATGAAAAATTAATTTTTATTTTGTTCTTATTCATGAAAACATATGACCAACGGATCCGTAAAACAAGAAATAAAATTGGTCTGGCCTTAAGATGGATATTTGTTAGGCAGTGTATTACTCACAGAAAGACTGACTGACTGAGTTTGGTTTTAGGCCGCTTTTAGCAATATTCCAGCAACATCACGGCGGGGGACACCGGAAATGGGCTTCACACATTGTGCCCATGTGGGGATTCGAACCGGGTCTTCGGCGTGATGAGCCAACGCTTTAACCATTAGGCTACCCCACCGCCCCCTCACAGAAAGAAATGAGTGCTACTTTACTGAATAATGAGTGAGTGAGTTGAGTTTTACTCCGCTTTTAGCAATATTCGAGCAATCATGGCAGGGGACACCAGAAATGGGTTTCACATTTGCTGACCAACACTGTTATTGGATATTGAAGCAGAAGATGTTTGCCATATTGTTTCACAAAAAATATTGCTGAGGTAACATGAGTGCTCACTGATATCAGAACATAATGGTTTTCTCTTGTATAAAGGGGCGGTGGGGTAGCCAAGTGGTTAAAGTGTTCGCTCGTCATGCCGAAGACCCGGGTTTGATTCCCCACATGTGGACAATGTGTGAAGCCCATTTCTGGTGTCCCTGCCATGATATTGCAGGAATATTGCTAAAAGCAGCATAAAACTAAACTCACTCACTCACTCTCTTGTGTAAAATAGGCTGTTTTATGATTGGTTGGTTCAAAACAGCAACTGCCGTATGCATTGACAAGTGATGGTGGAACATAGTTCATACAACCCTGTGAAATACTGACGACAGCATGTACATTTCACTGACCACATACAAGATCTATGATATGTAACACAGTAGATACATACGAGACTTTAAATGTGTACATTTATGACATATAATATTCAATTGTTGCAAGAATAATATACAGCTGTTTTATGAACCTTGCACGAAACAGTCATATAAAGTGCAATATGTTCTGATCTAAATATACCTATAAGAATGTTAAGGACAGGTCGTTTGAGTGCAAAAGGCATGAATCTATAAGCAGATATTCACGCTTGGAGTCAACACGTTTCATGGTGAGGGGCAGCTACAAGATCTGTGCTATGCAACTGCTCATTTTGTTCAAACAGTAAATCATAAACTCATAGATATGGTCATGTTTAGTAAAGCGACTGCATGGGATATACAATCAGGTATCTAGGTTTTACTTGCATGGCCGACATAGAGGTATAGTTGACAAATACTCAGGCTCTACACCCATTTGGACATCTTTTCTTTCAATAGAGACAATAAATTTGATACGCTGTCCCTTGAACAACAAAATATTTACATAAATGTTATTCCTTACATTGGTGGTGAACCTCAAATTCTAAGATGCTTCACTAAAAGATCAAAGGGGATAAAGTACACTTTTTGCATGACGTCACACTGTATTGCCGTCACTACTCCATTCTTGTCTGCCTCCTCGTAATCAAAGGATGTATCCTTGGTAACCTATGGTATGAATCACGTCAGTTGTCACTGCCTCGTACAGTCTCTTACAGTGTAACTAACTCGGTTAGCACCCCATTTCATGGTTTGCAGTTGCTTCAGTCAGCTAACATCACTGGTGGAAACATAACATTTAACTTTTTCAATGGAAAAAATGCCTCAGCTCGACTTGCAACAATGGCAATTTCACTACCCAGGCCTATGTCCACAGTCCCACAATGCAATTGTGAAATGTCACAATACTAGTCAGTTTGATCTAGAAGTACTGATACAGGAGGTAAAGATGAGACTTTCATATTGTCCCATGTTGTTTATGATCATTACAAAAATTGATAAAATAAAGAGAACATGTTTAACCTGAGTGTAAACCATCCTGAAACACTTTATCATTTGCTGTCTTGGTAACGAAGGGGCCAGACGCATCAACAGAACAGTGCGTCAGTTAGCCCTGAATGAGGGATATAAATTTAGGTCACCAGCAACATCATTTTTTTTTTTTCATTTGTTTCTGTGCCCTAGATTAATCGTCAGTACGTACTAAATTTGGTGTTTTAGAAAAGAAAGTTCGCTCCATGAACGTGTCTTCATGCTTCAACAGTAACAGGGTCCGTAAGTAGGTCACAGCACTTCACGAGACCTTAGTACTCCCAGCGTCAAACAACGTACACTTGGACCGGTCTAGTAAAGTCATATTTGGCGGTCGCACAATTTGGAACTAGAACTGGTTCTTGTCACCAGAAATCTGGTTCTGGAAGTAAGCTGGGCCCCGTCTCACATATCGCAAATTGTTGCTCGCAAAGGCAGCCAGGAACCAGCTTAGTATCGGGAGTAGCGCCTCATGAAACTTACAGGCCCTAAAATCAGGGCAAAACTGTACTATAGTACACTATACTTGACAAAAGGCTTCGGAAGTATGTTTACATAGAGGAATGGAGTAGGAACATGTAGGAGTAGCACACAGGATAGAAGGTTTGTCAGCCTGACTATCTATCAGCAAATGTCAGCCATGCATATCATCACACTAACACCACACGTTCTCCTACAGGTATATAATGGAGAAATAAAATGTGCTGCAGACTTAGAAGTAAATCTTTATTACACCAATGTTTGGGAATGTTGCCATGGAGTCTTCGCATTAGTCTTTGGATTCCTGTTGAGATTAATTGTGATGTATTTTGTTCATAATAACACACAACATGAACAAAACATTTGCCTGCAATAACCCCTCCCTATGCGATATATTCTCATCAAATTTCATGAATTTACAACCCATTCTAAAAACACCCATTTTCAAAATGTTTCAATGTTTATAATGTCTAAAGGAACAACAGCAGATTGAGTATCTATGCTATCCTGCTGATATGAGGTGTTGATTGCAAAATTCTGTATTTTCAAAACAAACAAAACTAAATTTAACATTAGACATGACTTCTACATAGGATCATTGATACTTTCAGCCAAAGCAGAAGCTGGGGAAAGAAAAAAGGTTTTAAAAATGACATCATCCATACAATATTTAACTTAAATGTTTTAACTGAATACATAGCTGAAGACTAAGGGAGGTAGCCTGTGTTTAAAGGGCGGGGACACAATCCCAGATTAATTATGCATGGAATCCTCTAGGAATGACTGATCCAGTAAAAGTGAGTGATACGTTTGTTATTGTATTAGAGTTGATGATGATTTAAAAATAACAAAAAAATAATAATAACAGAGTAATCACAATATATACTATTCACACTTTGCTAAGGATCAAATCATTGATTCACCGGAAAACTATGTTGTGGGGTCTAATTTGGGTTAATATCTAAGCCTTTTGTAAGCATGGATCCTAGGTTTCAGTATGTCATTTCATCTTGTGGATCCCATACCTGCTATTGACAGGTATTGTGTACTTGTCAATTACCCGTTCCATGATTTGCATAATGGTTGATTGGTGCCATGAAAACCATTTTAATTGTTACTCATGTATCAAGAGCAAAAGGTTAGATTAAAGAAGCTGTTTGCCTAAAGAAGGGTTACCATATTATTATTTATCCAGTTTTAAGTGGATACAATTTCAAATTATAAATCTATGTTTAAGTAAAGTTGTGAATTTTTGTGATCCTTAGCAAAGTGTGAGTAGTATATGTTAAAGGATCAAAATGCAAAAAATAATCCCCCATGCAGGATCCAATAAATAAGACAGCTGGCTCGATTTCTGAATTGTAATCACTTTTTTAATAGTTAGACTGAGTTGTGAAAACTACATACTGTCATCTTCTGCCTGTGACTGTTCCTCGCTGGACGGCCGGACACTGAAGGTGAAACTCGGGGCCACTGTGACAGCAGGGTTGTCGTCCGGGATCTTAACGGTCAGACCTTCAACTTCATCCTGGGGCTGTGCTTCTGGTGACTGCTGAAGATTAAAACAGGATTCAATCAGTGTGAGTGATTAAAGGTTTGTGGTTTGAAGGCCACATTAAACAGAATTTGTATTATGTCACAGTGTGTCAGGGTAATATGCATTTAATTGGTCGTTGATGAAACTTGTCACCCAGGGTGCATTAGAGACCATGATGATTCTGAAACAACTATATATTGGTGTAGACATACAGCTTGTTCTGCTTGACCTGAGCTACTCTACATATGCATGACCCGGGAGGTCAAACGGCACAAACAGCAGGTCGAGTTAACTTCATTAAATAAGGGAGCAAAGAATGTTATTAATTTTGCTGCCCGCTGCCCGAAAGCTCGAATCGGAAACAATAAACCATCTGAAGCTTCTTTTTTAAAGAAAATTAGGACATTGCTGATGATTTCTCGACACTGAGGTGTCAAACGGCGACCTTGTCTCGACTGTTTCGGACATGTTGACAATCAATGCACCCCTTCACAATAATAGACCCAACCAGTTGTGACATGGTCACGTAATATGCATAAGTATTCACTTGATCAGGTCAAGCTGAACGAGCTGTAACTGTGGACATAGACACATCTAAAGGACGTAGAAAGGACATAGACACAACTATGAACATTAACACATCTGTTGATGTACACACATCTATGGACATGGACACTACTATGGACAAACGTCAACTCAGAGTGCTTTTCTGTCTAACATGGTTAATACAGTTCTTGATCAATACCTCGATACTTCTTCATGAATCCTTTGCATATCTGACTCGTGAAATATACATACGTATCTTCTTGTGTCAACCATGACTGCCTTAGTTGGTATGGTTTGATTGGAAACCATTGCTTCAAGTTTTGACGGAGAGGACATAAATTGCACATACATTTAAAGATAATCAGATAGAATGAGTGAGTGAGTGAGTGAGTGAGTGAGTGAGTGAGTGAGTGAGTGAGTGAGTGAGTGAGTGAGTGAGTGAGTGAGTGAGTGAGTGAGTGAGTGAGTGAGTGAGTATGGTTTTATGCCGCTTTTAGCATAGATTCCACCAATATCATGAAATTGGGTTCATACATGGACCTGGCCCCGATTTCTCGAAACAAACTTAAGTCTGAGTTTTGACTTAAGTCTGAGTTTTTACTCAAATTTGAGAAAACGCAGGAAAATGCATTTCCCAGAATAAACTGAAATCAATATTGAACTCAAACTTAGCAGACAATTTGAGTTTGGTGGATAGATTACTTAAGTTGTTTGGGCTTTTTTTTAGTTAAAAAATGCAGTTGAGTTAAAAATTCAGCTGTTTCAAATTGTCAAACTCAGTTTGAAATTTGAGTAAAAACTTAAGTCTGTTTCGAGAAATCAGGGCCTGGATTTTCGGTGTGAAGGGCGAACGCTTTAACCATTAGGCTACTCCACTGCCCCTTAATCACATAGAGATAGTAGGAGCAACTGAGTGACAAGTCAGATAGGGATATGATTTTGAGGATGCCTCCATTTTCTGACAAAGGTTGACCAAACAAGTGATCATAGTGGCATGTCAGGTTCTATCTGGAGCCAGTTCTCTTCTGCAGCAGATATATTCTGATGGATAATTCAGAGAAGTGAGAGAGCGAGTTCGCTTTAACACTGCTTAGAACAATATTTCTGTTATTTCCAGCATTTCAGCTGCAAGGAGTGAGTGAGTGAGTATGGTGGGACACCAGAAATGGGCTTCACACATTGTACCCATGTGGGGATTTGAACCCTGATCTTCAGCATGACAAGCCAACGCTTTAACCAATAGGCTACCCCACTACCCCCTTCAGCTGGAAAAAAGCCTGAAGTGCTACAGGTCTAAGGTGTATACAAGTTTGGGAAAGTCCATAAGAATGTGTACAAAGCTGACAAATCAAGAAATCAGGGTTTATCTAGAATTCAAACCCATGATAATAATTGTCTGACTAATTGCCGCTAGCGAGGCAACTGAATAACTTGGATCAACAATCAACTTCAACAGACACTCTTTTGACACATGCAAACAACCACGGTGCCATTCTCTATACATTCAATTCCAAAAACTGATTACATTTTATTTCTATCCGTGCAGACAAGGAAACTTTTCATAAGGACTGGTGCCCTGCTGTCTTTGAGCTGTGACATCTTTATAATATTTGCACAAAACAAGTTTGGGTTTAGGGGGACATATTTCCCTATACAAATTAGATTTTTTTTATGTAAATTATTTTCATTAATTGACCATAGATGTCGCGAAGATAGTTTTTTTTCCATAAATGCTTTTATGTGAAGTCATGATTCACAAACCTCAATATTTTCCTCTGAGCTTTTTTCTGAGCTTTTCTTGTCACCATTGGTCTCATCTTCCAGCTTCTGATCTGGCACTCCACCATCAGTGATGGCAGCAACATCATCATCTTCCTCCGTGAAGTTGCGATGTGATTCCTGCAAATCAACTTGCACATTTTACATTACCTTCCTTTCAGCTACCAGAAAATAATCCAATCTTTGGTGTCAAGACAAGACAGTAGCTACAGATCATTGCCTCTAAAGATAAGTCTCCTAACAGGGCTAAGGTGTATGTGTAATAGTATATTAAATATTAGATAAATATTGATCATATTTTGAATATGCATATATGATTAATAATGCAGTATATGAGTTGTAAAAAGTATTAATAAATATAAGTAATACATCATAAACCTCGATGGACATAGATTTTACTCTTTGCGTTTGTCAATTCTTATTGCAAGGGTAATGTTTTTGGTTGATCTGAATCTAAATCTTAGAAACCAATTATTGACATGTGCTTACTGAAACTACTTTCAGCAATAGAACAATCATATCAAGTTAGGTCAAAGATCTACTGATCTAATGAGTTCAAATAACGTCTGGCCATACAAGCCTGTCAGTTTATTTTTGGAGAAGAGACCAAAATGTCAAAGGTCATATATGTAACATTGGATAAAACAATGGTCAATGATCAGGGGAGTTCAGATTAGAAAATGCTATGAAAAAGTAGGAAATGTAGAGAAGGATCACAAACCAACAACCAATAGAAGTATTCCGTTTAGTTTCTTTATAGTTAAAAAAAAGAGAGTGAGTGAGTGGACCAGGTTTAATGCTGCTTTGAATAGTATTCAAGTTATATCACAACTTGTCAGCTTTATGTTGAGTAAAGCTTGAAGTGATACAGGCTCACGTGATTATCAAATTTGGTGAACCCCACAAGCAGGGTAAGGCACCGGCCAACCTAAAACCATAATTGGGATAAAAAAGAAATCAGACCAAGAGCAAATTTCAGCACCATCTGTGCCCTCTCAAATAAAGTGAGTTAATATTAAAGCTGCGTGGTACAAAATATTCATCCCCAGCTATGGTCTGTTCATTTCTACTGGATTATTTTAAAACACATCTCTTTTGACAGAAAGACTACCCACTTTGAACAACTGCACATAAATTATGCTGATCATTCTAATGTTTCCATCAAGCTGTTGGGTGATGAAATAATAATACTGAAATATATGCAAAAATGTTTCATCTCATGATTAAAATTCATCATAACGCTTATATTTTTCTTATCAACATTGCAATAAATATCACTGACACATCATAATACATTAATTTGCAGGACTGATAGAACTTGATACAACACTATATTTTAATAACTGAAAGCTTATACATTTGTAATTTTCATTTGCTTTATTGAAGAATTTAATATTTTATGGATGACTTGGAGGTAGTGCAACTGATCATGCTTTAAGGCAACATGCATACAATATCCCCCATGCATCCGCCACAAAGGTTGCATATTGGAGAAAATACCCCAATATATCAATGTCATGTAATGTAAATCATAGAAAAAATATACAATGTGAAGAATAAATATGTGTCAAATGGAAACTAGATGGAAATCTAATTTTGAAAATCTATTCAAAAAGTGAAAATTAGACAAAAAAGTAGTCAACCATTTTGTGTCAGTGCGACCATGCAAAGTGGAAGAAAAGTGAATGAAAACACTGAATTCAAACATGTGGTGGAAAGAAAGAAAAGTAAAAGGTACAAAATAAAATCCCTCTATCATACCGATTGCTAATTAATGAAAAAATAAAATCAATACATGGAAAACAAAATGGCTACTAGACACCTGGGAGAAGTTTCCGACCTCCACAAAACAGGAGAGTTCTTAGTAGATTTATCTCCCTTATCTCACCTTCATTTCTATCATTTCTGCCAGTTTTTCATTGCGTGCTGCCATCTCAAGGCGTAATTCCTCCTCAACCTCGTCATCCAACTCTTTATACTTGTACGTCTCCTAAACATGCCGTGCACAAGAGAAAGATATGCATGCCAGACGTCATTAGCAAGTGGGATAGGTAGAGGCAATAATCAAGTGACAGAGTCTTCAAACAGTGCATTTTCACAAAGTGAATATTCAAAAGCAATGATTGCTTTGAGATATCAAATCACACACTCAGTGGAAATATCGAAATGTGAAATCAAATTTTCAAATTTCAATTTGAAAAATCTGTCATTTTACATCATGAAATGCTCTGGAAAAGAGGTGTAGTTTACATACAAATTACATGATCACTCTCAGAAACTCAAACCCATTCAATACCTGAAGACATTACAATATAGGAGAGCAGAGCTTGTAGCATACAACAAGAGCCAAATAACACGCTGAATAAGGGCACATAACTGGGGCAACAATATTCCAGCACTTCACTGTATTGGACTGGGATGGGGTCAAGGTCAGGTCGGGTCAAAATGGTGTCAAGGTTAAATCAAACTGGTTGTACAACAAATCCTGGGGTATGTTGACCCTTACATCACATTCTGGTTACACAAACATGGCTTTCTGAATAACACTTACATATGGGGTGACACATGAATGTAGGTCATTTTGGGTCAAGGTCATTCACAAATCTAGGCCACGTAAAGATGATAAATTTATGTAAATGAAGGCACAGTAATTGTAGTTTTAAAATGTAAGAATAAAAAAATGAAAATTGTGGTGTGTAATATTTCAAACTGCAAATTGTGATAAGTCATAAATAGAAGTGAATCACTGATATAAAAGAGACCTTGTGTTAGATGTGAAGATAAGGATATAGCCAGCTGAATGAGCAGTTGGTGCCTATATATATACACACATGGAAGTGCTCCTGAGTCAAAATGTGAAGCTGGGGTGACAGCGGTAAAAAGTAAAAGGATGTTTTTCTTGAAATTTTCAGATCTTTTTTTTTCCAGATAGTCAGGAAATATGTGGCAAAAAGCACTCAGAAAATTTGAAATTTGATGAAGAAAAACCAATCATTTTTCGACCTGTTCTTTATCAACATCATCATCATCATGGTCATCATCCAGAGAAAAAAAATCCTCATCATCTTCCAAGTCGGAGGGAGCGTATATTGGGAATCCTGTTCTCTGTTGTTTAGTAAAAATATCAAATAAATGTTTGTCATATCTAATAAGCATTTATGTTTGTCAGGACGCTAGTATCGTTATCCTGCTATGAAGTGTATCAGTAGCGTCTATTGAGAGCACCTACATCTGAAAACCCCATCTCTCCTTCAAGTCAAATCTGAATCATATCACCTGCAACACTGGGCTATGTATAATGTTTCTAAGGGGGCCCAAATCAGGTTACTCAAAATGACCAAATAAATCACAATTAGTTATAAACATATGCTCTGTTACATGAATGAGAACTTGATGCACTGGTTTGAAGTTGGCATCCATGTCATCAATCAATGTGAAATGATCACTACAAATGTAATATTCAATACAGAAGCAAAACAGTCAACTCCTACACTCGTTCAGCTAGCGTGAAGACACAGCACTCATTATCATGCTGCACAGCAAAATAGTTCCGCTATTTCATAGCCAATTCCTATTGAATATACCTACCAAACATATTAATAATATAATCGTCATATCAAGCATGATCACAATCCTAATACACCACCACCACAAAATTAATAAAATTCAATTTCAACAAATGCTCATAAAATGACAACAAATTTCAAATCCCACACCCAAGTGAATTAAAATGCATGAAACTTGTGAACACAAACCATAGCCATCCATCAGTCCTTCACCTCTACCATTTTCCATAAAACACATATAAGCAGCAAATGTTCTTTACGAAATAAAAACATCAATCTCATACAGAACAATTACAATTAGATTCATGTATGCATGTATGTTCAAATAATGTTGTCGACTTTAAATTAAGATAAATGGATTTTGATTTGTTTAACAGTCGCAGGCTTTAGGTATTTTTTTGACTGAATGTTCACGGAGTCGACGTACCTCGAGGTGTTTCATTAGCACCGCCACGACTACATTGACAAGGACGAACTGGGCCATAAGTACAAACACGACAAAGTAGACTGGGGCGATGATGGGACTGACGCAACAGTTCCGCAGACAGTTGTCCGTGGAGTCGCAGTTGTCTCTCAATGTGTCCTGAAGCAAACAAACAAACAAGTTTTGACATCTGGAGATAATGAAAGGCTAATACTCTCGGTTGACAATAATCAACAACCACAGCATCGGGGAATTCCATAGCTGACCTACCAGTTGTCAAATTATCTTAAGGGAATGTTTTAACACATGTTCGAACAGTATTTCAGCTGTTTCAACAGCATGCATGAGTAAGTGATGAATACACAATTCCCTATAGTGAGTGAGTGAGTCTAGTTTTACACCACTTTTAGCAATATTCCAGCAATATCATGGCGGGTGACACCAGAAATGAGCTGGGGAATCAAATTCCGGGTCTTCAGCGTGATTAGCGAATGCTGTAACTACTAGGTTACCCCCATCGCACCCAATTCCTTATAGAAAGTGGTAAAATGCAACATATTTTGGATTACATTTTTTCAGTAAAGTACAGATTTTAGAACCATTTTGGAAAAACCCACAACATAAGAAAGGAGCTGACAAATCTATAAACATAATCAGGTTTCCCCGAGGTAGGTTTGGACAGGGGGAAAGTTTGGCCTGTTACACTGGGTCTTCGGCATGACGAGCCAAATCTTTAACCACTAGGCTACCCTACCGCCACTGCTTCATGTGAGGACAGTATATGGGAACTCATATATTGGGAGGTCAGAAAGAGGCTGTCTAACCTTCATTATTCCATTCCAGTTATCACCCGTAGCCACACGGAAGAGTGTCAGGAATGCCATACCAAAGTTCCGGAAGTGAGCATGTTCTCCAAGACCCTCACAAGGGTGGAACTGGGAGCACTCTGCCAAAGAAATGTCAAAATGTCAGTGCCAGAGAACAATTAGCCTTGATTATCTACTGAAACAGATTTCATCAAGCAAAATGTAAAATAGAGACGACAATTAGGGTCAGCTCGTCCTGCTCTACAAAAAGGACATGCCAATCAAGCTGTACATTTCCTGTGTTTCCCATCTGCATCCTGCCCTGAAATGTCATTCGAGGAGAAAAAAATATCTTATCTCAATTTCCCCTGCCACTGTGGAACATTATACCCTTGTGTGATAGAAGAAAATACTCCTCCATGCACACGCTAATTAAAATCAGGTCACCTTGATCTTTCTTCATCTGCTTTTCTTTAAAGAAATGTTTCTGATCAAAGCAACTCAATCTGCATAATAAATTAATTGAAGGACTATTACAAAGTGATTAGTGACAATATGTATTTTATTTCTAATATTTTTCTCCTGATCGCTCCCCAGCTAGTTGAAGCTGAAGATGAAAAACATGGAAACAAATATGAATGACCTCACACAGGTGTCTTACATGGGCGTCTTACACAGGTGTCTTACATTGACGTCTTACACAGGTGTCTTACATGGGCGTCTTACACAGGTGTCTTACATGGGCATCTTACACAGGTGTCTTACATTGGCGTCTTACACAGGTGTCTTACATGGGCGTCTTACACAGGTGTCTTACATGGGCGTCTTACACAGGTGTCTTACATGGGCGTCTTACACAGGTGTCTTACATGGGCGTCTTACACAGGCGTCTTACACAGGTGTCTTACATGGGCATCTTACACAGGTGTCTTACATGGGCGTCTTACACAGGTGTCTTACATTGGCGTCTTACACAGGCGTCTTACACGGGCATCTTACACTGCCTTACATACCACTGACAAAACAGACAGTGATCAGTATCAAGGTCCATGTTGTTGGATTTGGTTTGGTTTGTTGTTTAACGCCACAGTCAGCATTATTTCAGCTATATGGCGGTGGTCTGTACATAATCAAGTCTGGACCACCCAATCCAGTGATCAACAGCATGAGCATCGATCTATGCAATTTGGATACGATGACATGTGTCAACCAAGTCAGCGAGCCTACCACAGGATGCCGTTAGTCGCCTGTTACGACAAGTATGGGTTACTGAAGAACAATTGTAACCCAGATCTTCATGTGTACCATGTCGTAGGATGCTGTCACAGTTAACGCAGTCAACAAGCATGACAACATTTTCTAATATATGGATAATACAGTTTATTAGTGGTGTGTATTACTGGTAATTACAGAATGGACATGACAATTCTTGTATCTGACAGCATGAGCAATCATACACCTCATCAAGGGCCACGAATAGAAAATGTTTTACACATAGGGCTCACAACCTGGACAATGTTTATAACAAGTGAATTTGCTGTAGAGAATAGCCTGAAAATAGTACTATTCCCCTTCAACAAATGTAGCTTAACTGTGGCCTGAAACCACATAGTACTTACCTAGCCTTCCGAAGAGCTCCACACCCAGCGCAGCAAATATGAAAAACAGTAGGAAGAATAACAGCCCGAGGTTGCCCACCTGAGGCAATGCTTGTATCACAGTATCTAGCAAGGCACGGATACCCTTGGCCATCTTCAGTAACTTCAACACTGAAGGAGAAAGGGTAACATCCTTAAAAAAGATCATAAAATCTTCAGTATCTATAATTATGCAGGAGAAAGGGTAACATCCTTAAAAAAGATCATAAAATCTTCAGTATCTATAATTATGCAGGAGAAAGGGTAACATCCTTAAAAAAGATCATAAAATCTTCAGTATCTATAATTATGCAGGAGAAAGGGTAACATCCTTAAAAAAGATCATAAAATCTTCAGTATCTATAATTATGCAGGAGAAAGGGTAACATCCTTAAAAAAGATCATAAAATCTTCAGTATCTATAATTATGCAGGAGAAAGGGTAACATCATGAGAAAAGATCATAAATCTCCAGTAACTTCAACACTGCAGGAGAAAGGGTTTACAACATAATGAGAAAAGGACATAAAATCTTCAGTATCGTTAACAATGCAGGACATTTCAATCTGAGGTGGTGTTGCTTTTGTAGTGGCCACAAAATATCCGAGTCCCGTGCTAGGATTCAAACCATGGACCTGATCTGAAGTTGGATACTTGGTCCAAATGATCAAAGAGGTTAATCTCATCAGCAATCTAATCCCAGATGTCATCTGTGGGATGAATCCATGCCCTGCTACACTTTTCTGGCCATAACATTCAAGCCTCATAGCCTAACACTGCAAGACTTAGCATACACTAATTGTGAAGTTGGAATCATACAAGGAAAATTATCAGGATTATGGCAACAGTTTTGTTGCATCTTTTTCATATAATGAGTGAGTGAATGACAACTGAACAATGTGGTTGTGGTGACTGACTGAATTCTTACCTCTTGCAATGCGAAGTACTCGCATGACACGGATGATGGTAGGGTTGATTGGAATGATGTAGGTTTCCATCTCTTCCAGGATGATGCCAAATATGGACAGGATGACAATCAACATATCCAGCTGGTTCCATCTGCAACATAACACCCAGTTTGGTAAATGTGTTCACAGTTACACACATACACTTTAGCAGAGTGAAAATATGACCAAGAACACATCCATTCAACCCAGACTTCATCATATTCATTGCCAACCCTTGGGTCAAATATGGACAATTTTACACATCAAGAAAAAAATACTGACACTATTTTCCTGGCAACTGATTTCCTTATCTGTGTCTCATATCTGAAGAATCCCAAAGCTACTATTTTCCAGGCAACTGTCTTCCTTACTTGTCTCTCATATATTAGAGGAATCCACGTGCTACTATTTTCCAAGCAACTGATTTCCTTACCTGTCTCTCACATAACGGAGGAATCCACATGCTACTATTTTCCAAGCAACTGATTTCCTTACTATTTTCCAAGCACTTACCTGTCTCTCATATATCGGAGGAATCCAAGTGCTACTATTTTCATGATAGCTTCAAGGATGAAGACACTGGTGAAGAAATAGTTGAAGATCTTCAGAGCAAACTGCAGCTCCTGCAAAAATCGATATGGAACATAACGCCAGCTGCTGCCAGTAAATAATGTTTGTACCAAGTACTACAGTGACTGAAATTGTTTCTGCCACTTGAGGTTGCTGAGCACAAAGTTCATCATTGCAAATTTTACATATTCAGCAGCTTTCATGATTACTGGTGTGGCGGGGTAGCCTTGTGGTTAAAGCATTTGCTCATCATACTGAAAACTTGGGTTTGATTTCCCAAACGGGTACAACCTGGATGCCCTAAAAGCAGAGTAAAGCTATCCTCACTCACTCATCTGTGATCATCACATAACAGTGAGTTGGTGTGAGCTTGCTTTTTTATACAGTAATGGAGGTATATCATGACCTGTCAGCCATGTTTGTAAGGTAAGTGATGCAGGTCTTAGACCTTCACCTCTTTGGTGGCCCTTGTTAGCATGTATTTGGTGCCAGCAGACCAGGGTGCCGTTGTACAAAGCTATCTTAGTGCTAAGGTAACCGTAACTCCCATACCTTAACATAGACTTAAGGTAGTCTTAGCGCTAAGGTTGTTTTGTCCAACAGCACCCTGGAACCATTAATGGGGCAAATTAGGACTCCAACCCAAGGGACACAATTCTGTACAACAAATTTCGTCACCTGTGCCCCAGATCAGTGAGTGGGTGAGTTGAGTTTTACGTGCCATTCAGCAATATTCCAGCTGTATGGCAGCAGTCTGTAAATAATTGAGTCTGGACAAGACAATCCAGGGATCAACAGCATGAGCATCGATCTACGAACAAGGGCATATATCAACCCAGTCAGCAAGCCTGACCTCCTGATCCTGTTAGTCACCTCTTAGAACAAGCATGGGTTACTGAAACCAATTCTAACCCGGATCTTCACGGGTGCCTACCAGATCAGAATAACACAGCATAAATGATTTCCTACTGACACATTAACAGTTATATTACAACTTGGAAGTAAAATCTAAGGCTTAGAAGCTATAAATTGAATAGTATGAGTGCAAGAGTGAGTGACATTTTTAAGAAATACCTGACTTCTGCCAGGATTGGCAATCTTTTTTCAAGCAGTTTACAATGTATAGTCACTCCCTGCTACAACAGTTACTGAATCATTCTTCTAAGATTGGAAATCACATGTCTCCCTGGATTCCTCTTTTAAATCATGCATCCAATATTACCTGAGGCATCATGTAATATTCCATTGCCATGGTGATGACATTGAGCCCAATGACCCCAGCGATTGCAAGGTCAAAGTATTTGCTGTTGATGACAGTATGAATGAGCAGACGTGGCCGAGAGTATGGAGCCCAGTAAGGAGGTTCACTCAACTCTGAAGAAACAGTCATTCAAAAAACATGAAAATCTAAACCATATTACATCAAATCTTAATTTCTGAAATAAATTTGTATCAAATCAGTTAAAATACAACCCCCAATGAACTATCAGCATATGTGACATACAGAGAAATATACATCCCAACAAGGACAAATGTTCAAAATATCGAATTTGGAAAAGAAATTATTTTATAAAAGACTATCAATACTTTTATTAATATTTGATACTACCATCCTGTCCTTAACAAATCACATGAACAGACCTGTTTGTAAATGGGACTAGTATTGAACGCGACATTGATAACTCTCCTGTGTGATGCGATGTTTTGCCACAGCACTGAAGCACAGGTGAAGAGTAAGTGAAGCTGAGACGAAAGCTGCAGTATATATCAACATGTGTAAGAAGCACACTTGCATTACAACTACTATTGTACAAGGAATTTAGAAAAACAAATAACTTAAGGAACATATTTAAGAAAAATAGATATATCGAACTTAAAAGTGAGCTTTCAAATCTTTGAACATATTTTTACTTAATCGATAGGAAAAGCAAATTCAGCATATCAGTTTGTAAAGGGTAATGAATGGAAGAATGATTATGACAGGAAATGATGAATCAGCGATGAAACAACATTCCTCTACATTCACATTGATTAGTTATCTACATGGTGATTCTTAGATACAATTCATACAATTCCATAACACTATCTGTACAATCATTTATCTATATATCATAAAAACACAATACAACTAATCTTGCAACACTGATTCATAAAAATGGCATTTACCCAAAGGGTTTTAACATGGGATTTAAAGCCCTTCTGTAAACATTTCTTTAGAGGACAAGAAATAGCACATTTCAACATACTACTTTTCTTCTTCAGAACATCCCCGTCTTCATGGTCACATGACATCTCTGGATCATGTGACTCGTCAATCCAGATCACATGACTCGTCAATCCAGATCACATGACCAGTCAATCGACCGTGGATTGGCAGTTGGAACTAGACAACACTAAACAACACTACACTGAGTCTGGCTGGTTATTGTAACAATGCAAGAAACACTACTCACTACCTTCATTGAACATGCAGGAGGCTCATAGACATCAAACAAGACTGTAAATGTGCAAAAATATCCAAAACCCAAACCAAAAGAGAGTCCAAATTCCTTCAATTTTAAGCCATATAATTCCAAAAATATTTGTCTAAAAACTTTCATTCTTCAAAATCAATCCATTGATGTGTATGATATCTACTTGAAATACATAATGGCTGACAGGAATATTTGTACAAAGAGCCATTGCATATTTGACATCAGACAACTAGATGAGGAATATTGAATATAAAGGATGGGGTACGACAAACACCAATGTTGCCTTAAATGCATAGCACCCATCTCCACCATCACCAATACAATTTAAAAAACCCCTAAAAATCCATACCTTTTTAAAAATAATAATAATGAAAGCCACAAAATGTTTAACAAAAATAACCACAAAACATAAACAAAATTCTTAGTTTGTCCCTAAAATGTTTCCTTCACTGATTGACACCAGGAGAAACAAAAAATTAGAATATAAATTCTGGAAGAATAAAACTCGAGTACAATCTGATAGGTGGTGGTGTTTTCTGGGTTTCTTCTATTCTACAACTATTGAACACAAAGATGTATCAATGCAAGCTATCTAATGTTACTAACAGTGCAAGACAACATTCTGGTATTGGTGTGGGAACATTTGGGAAGAGAGGCTGCAGATCTGTGTACAAATGATGAACAGCAGGGCACTGGATGCTGAGATTTGGGGGTGGGTATAATGATGGGAATGAACGAGGATACATGTCATTGGGGGGTGAGACACTTGGGGGCATTCCAGAAAATGCAACTACTGTAATATAATAAATATCAATATATGGCTAGGGATGCAAGCTTCAGCATCTTATATACAGGAAAACCCTTGTCAGTTCATGTGATGCATTTAGTAACAAGTACATTAATTTCTTTGAGTGGCATTTTAGAAGTTGGGAAGTACAATATAGAACAAACTTTATGGATAACGTCTTTTTATTCGTGAGTGTGACGTTTCGATACAGATTACAAGAATCTATAAAGTACATTAATTATGCTTTGAATCAGACAAAACAGTAACTGTGATAATTCTATATTTTTCATACACATCTCTTTGAAAGGTATACATCTTCCCTTTTCTTCAGACGATTATGATAAAACATTTTGTACTCCTGTAATTTAACATAGACAAGTGCATTACCACTATGGTTTGGAGGAACAGTTCCTGGGTACATAATGGCCTGGATACAGACCCCTGATTGCCTATATAAATATTTCCTTTTATTTGATTTTTCTTTTATCCTAAAAGTCTCATTTTGAATTCTGCCTTGTAATTTATATGCTCTTGACACAGTTTAAATGTTACTTTCATTCTTCTCCTAGAGTTGAACATTTAATGTAAAGGTATGACTTTCTATTTGACCCTACACAGCTGTCTTTAGGAGGGGTTATTTGTTGAGTACAAAAATAGAAACTTCTGCAAAGCTATATAGTCAAATTCATGAATTTGGATGAATAAATTCAAATGATCAAAGTTACTTAAGTCTCATAATATATATTAGTTACAACTAGACTGAAACTAGCAAGAAAATGTATACTTTTGACAACATGTGTTTTGGAAGACTGTTTTGCAATTAGATTAAAGGGCAAAAAGAAGTTAAAATCCAACAGCTTTTGATCTTTTGCCAAGTTGTTTGTTGGTTTGTTTTTGTTTCATAAATAGCACTTCAAAGATGGACATAAAAAACCCCATATATATATTGTTAACCACCTACACTGAATTCTTGACAAAGATTTTGTCAACTGACAAACATAAATCAAAGATTAGGACAAAGACGTTAAGGGATCAGAAGCCATTTCTTACTAAACTGAAAAATATACCCTTACTAATTTGTAGGTGCTTAGATTTCTACTTGAAGATGAGTGGAAACAGAGCACCACTGAAAACTCTTGAGTTTGGCATAGATCTACATTCAGCCTTGATCAGATCAAAAGGGGGCGGTGGAGTAGCCTAGTGGTTAAAGCGTTGGCTCGTCATGCCAAAGACCCGGGTTTGAATCCCCACATGGGTACAATGTGTGAAGCCCATCTCTGGTGTTCCCCTGCCGTGATGTAGCTGGAATATTGCTAAAAGCGGCATAAAACCAAACTCAGTCAGTCAGTCAGATCAAAAGTGAGCGAGTAAGTTTAGTTTTATACCGCCTGTAGTAATATTCCAGAAACATCATGGCAGGGACACCAGAAATGGGCTTCACACATTGTACCCATGTGGGGAATTGAACCCAGGTCTTCGGTGTGACGAGCGAACACTTTAACCACTAAGCTACCCCACTGCCCCAATCAGATCAAAAGACTGTCATAAATAAACGGTGAAAATGTTTAATAAAGACATGGGGAGGGATGCCGATATGCCTAAGGCATTCCCTGTTGTATTTGAGATGGCAGACTATTGACTGTGTCAAGCACCACTTGTTTTAATCAGGAAAATACAATCGATCAGATGATTACTTTTTGTCAGTCACACAAATTCAAAGTGGCAAATAGGTCTTCATTATAAAACAGATATGATACACTTGATCATACACATGATCTATTCTCTGTGGTTTTGATTACACACTTTTCAAAATTTAATCTTGAGGATGTGAATATATTATTTTTTTCCAGAAAATTACCATTCAAGCACCAAGAAATTGCATCAGAGGATAACTGGAGCTACAACAGTTTTTCACAACGTATATATGCATATAAGGTAATCTCAATACCCTTTTGTCAGAGAATCTCAAGGACAATATTCTGCTGATGTTCATGCTCTGAGATTCTTGTGTCGACACTACAACATCTGCATGGAACAGTCACACAGGTTATCAAATTATGTTACAGATGATCATGTGGTCATCTTTGATGAAAATGAAAATGAATGAGTACATTGGAAGTCAATTTGTAGACAATAAGATCAAACTAAAAGATGGACTTCTCAGATACAGAATATTTAGGCTTTTAAGTTTAATAAGTAATAACTAACCTACCTCTAAACAAACTTTAGAAAATTTGAAAAATAAAAAAATGTGCTCAGTCCAAGTTTAAAAGTTTGTATAAATGAAGGAAAGAGCATATTGGGCATTGTGGCCCATAAAGAATAATATTTGATTCAAATATTAAGATACAATTTTAACAAGCCCATTTAAATTTGAAATTTGTAAAGATTGTATACATTTTGAGGATGATTTTCTCCCAGTAAACTTAACTGATTGTACATTAGACAATAAGTGAGTTGGGTTTTATGCCCATTTTAGAAATATTCTGGCAATAGCATGGTGGGGGACAACAGAAACGGGTTTTACATATTGTACCCATGTTGGGAATCGAACCATGGGTCTTGGGCATGACAAGCGAATGCTTTAACCACTAGGCTACCCCAGGTACGATAAGATCTAAGAGTTGTAGTTACGTCATTTATCATCTGACTTCCATTGTTCTTTCCATATAGAGTGCCATGTAATGTATAAAGGTCAGTGGAGGATGTTATGTTACAACCAAAGAAGTGAAACACAAGAACAAAGGAGTGTCGGTGCCAATCAAACAATAGAACAAATAAAAAACCTGCTCCAAACAGAAAAGTGTTAAAATAAGTACCATGTGTTAAAACTGTTCATGTGATTTGTTAAAGAAAAAAAGAGAGAGGATTAATCAAATAAAAATGCAACAACAAAATTCATTCGTTTACAGAAATAAATCATGAAATAATAAACATGATGATAGGGTGAAGGTGTGTGATGTGTTAGTAGTAGGAGCTTGTCAACTTTCACAGATCATGGCAATACCTCAACCTCAGTAAAATCAGATTTTGTACTCCGAGATGATACCAGTCTCTGAAGATATTCAGCCCTAAATTGGATGGTTCTGGCAGGTGAACCTGAGTTCACCATCCCTTGACCTTGACCTACATGAGGATGGACCAGTTCTTGAATCAATAAGATGTCAATCTGCTGAAACAATTCGGCTCTATTTCTTCATTATCTTTCAAAACCCAAAATATTCCTTTGATGGTACTCCTTTCCTGGTGAAGACACCATGGTGATCAGAAATGACAGTGTAAAAAGTATCCACAACAATTTTATTTCATGGAACATTTGCAACTGTTATTTTATATGCTGGACTGAATGTTTTGCTCATTTATACTGAAAATTAAGAAGACTTGGTGATGTTTGGCTGAAACTTCATCTAACATGTTTCTTTGGATAGCTTGTCATATCTTTTCTTGAGACAGATATTGTATCACAGTAAAGGATCTGATTTTAATGAGGTTGACAGTTCCGCTAAATACATCTACATTTTGCTGGAGTTGATGATTGGCCTTCAACAGACATGTCATTCTTTTCTATACACATCTTTGTCATCTTGCCAAAATTAAAAACATAATGTTTATTTAAATACAATTTGATAAAATTTAAAAAAAAGGAAAGATGAACACTTGATTTGATAATTAGTGCTACAAATTTGACAGCAGCAGTTATATAAATTAGAAAGGTAGACATGTCTAGTTAAAATCTTTGTTGCATAAAATAATATTGTGCAGAGAGTAGAGTTCTATTTTGTGATAAAATTGTGCACTGGTAGATATGTTCTTTAAACTACAAGTACTCTACTTCAGGCAAGCATTCATATACAACTAAAACACATAACAAGGCTTTGGTAAGGTATTTTGTCTGCATCAGCAAGTAAAAGATAAGGACTCAGCACACAACTTTGTCGAAGACCAAGGAGTAAGTCTAACTACAATTTAATGTCAGGATTTAAAGAGTAACAGAGATGGTAGAGGAAAATATGATAGTGTTATTACCTGTCTGAGGTTATAAACAGACAAGTTATAACAAACATTAGAATTTTTTTTTCTTAAAGAAAAGGAAGGATATAGATGAGGGATCTCTAGTAAAGTATCAGGTATTAGTAGAGAATTAGTAATGAATCAAAATTGTGTTATTGATGAAATATATACATGAGAGAAAACTTGTTGTGTGCATGCAGCATTCAGTTTCATCATGAAATGGTGATGACATTGAGTGAAATCAGCCTTGTTAATGTGGTCGCCAGACTCAGTAGGACAATACGAACCAGAGAGATTCTTAGGGTCCTCACTCTTTCGTTTACGTTCCAATTTCTGCTGGCGCTTTTCAGCTCGTACAGCTCTTTCTTCCATCTCTTGTGATTCTCGGCACTTGTGAAAGTTTTCTACCACAACGCCGACAAACATGTTCAAGACAAAGAATCCAACAAGCAGCAGGAAGGAAATGAAGTACAATAATCGCCACTCGTTGTAGTTTTCTATAGGCTGCAATACAAAGTGAATAAAATTCATGAACAACATCCATTAAGAACAAAAGACAATGTAAGATAATTTGGATGTTTGCTCCCTATTGTCAGTACCTGTGAGTGCAGTTACAAATAATCATGTTACCTATCATCAGAAAGATGTACATGCTGCCATTTATTGAAAGACAAATGTAGTCATTCTGTTTCACAAGTATTCTAAGAAATGATAATTTGTGAAATGGGCCCTTGTCTTGTACAGCTATGAACATCGTTAAGGTAATTAACAAATATTGTCTCTGTTCTGTTTGTTCACTTACTTGTTCATCTATCCCGACAGCATCCAGTCCGGTATGCATGATGCTAACCCAACCATCTTTAGATGCCAGAACAAACAGAGCCATCAGCGCCTGTGATAATGGTAATGCAATAATAGATATAGGGCTGAAGAAAATGGTCACCAGCTACCAGTATTGCATTTGACTTTTCCACATGGGGTGACAAATGTGTTAGTGTTAGTCTGGAGTGCCACAACTAGTGAGTGAGTGAGTGAGTTTAGTTTTTCGCCGCACTCAGCAATATTCCAGCTATATGGCGGCGGTCTGTAAATAAATGAGTCTGGACCAGACAATCCAGTGATCAACAGCATAAGCATCGATCTGCGCAATTGGGAACCGATGACATGTGTCAACCAAGTCAGTGAGCCTGACCACCCGATCCCGTTAGTCGCCTCTTACGACAAGCATAGTCGCCTTTTGTAGCAAGCGTGGGCTGCTGAAGACCTATTCTACCCCGGATCTTCACGGGCCGTGCCACAACTAATCTTGATTAAATGTCTACCTTTTGAGTAAGGAGAAGGAACATGTGCATTACCTCTTTCTTTATAGGTTTGGACCTATATATGCATTAAAATTGAGAATGGTTCCAAATAATGTGCACTTTGAATCCCATGGGTTTCAAAATTATTCCTCTTTGAATGTTTGAAGCAACTGTAGATTGAATGTCATGTTTAGTTGACATTTCTACTCTCAAAGCAAATGCAATCCATCCAGAGAAGTCAGAAAAAGAATACAAGTAAAACTTGTACACTGCCATGACATCTGTGTTTACCTGACCCAGGTTGTCAAAGTTGTATTTCCGATTGATCCATACAAAGCGTGTGTCGTTTTCACACTGTGTGCGGTTCCTGATGTCCTTGACAAGCCCCGGTGGACCTTTACAGTAGTAGAATGTGCCCTTGAACAACTGAAACACAGACAACAGTCCATTACTGTCAAACATTTGCCCTTCCAACTCACACAGTGCAATTTTTGAGTAGCTAAGTTCATCTATTTTCATCATTTTATATCTATAGTTCGACATCTTGATCACTTCCAGAGGACAGGTTACAGAAAATAAAATGACAATGCCCACAAAAGAGCTACAATGTTGAGTTTTCCATTTGGAATCTTATTCAAAATTCGCTTTCAATAATACAAACTACCTAATGAATAAGAACAACATTATATGGTGAAACCCCAATAATCCATACCACTGGAATGATATTGTCTGGATTAACAGGGTGTCATCCTCTTTGGCATTGGTGTTTCAAATAGATATCCATACACCTTTAATACAGGCTGATGACTAATGTAGTGTACATATTTATATATATATATATGTGCTGAGATGATCCTCAGTTCATAATCTCATAGAGCATACTTAGAATTATCAAAGCATAATAATTATTCAAATAGGAGCTTATATTTTCAAGAACTTAATCTTGAAACTCAGTCTTTATGGACTTGCATTCACCAATCTTGATTCATGAAATGCCTTACTTGCACTCCAAGAATTCCGAAGATGATGAAGAATGTACAACAGATGAGAACAATGTTTCCGATGGGACGAAGTGATGATAATAGTGTCTGTACAACTAGTTTCAGACCAGGGGCTCGACTGATGACTCTGAAATGAACCAAGGAATACATACAGGGATTTGCTTTCTTGTAACTGTTAACAAGTCATATACATCCTGACGCACAGGAGAATAAAATGAATGATGTAGATGCATACCCAAAAAGGAAATAGAAAATCCAAGAACAAAGTTTGCATGTTTTTTGACACTGCACTCAACAATATTCCAGCTATATGATGGTGGAACATAAGCACATTCTAGCATGCTTCTGTTGTTCTTCTGAAGTGTTTGGGATAAACAGTTCATTTCTCAACTGTAAAATTAAATAAGTACAATGTAATTGTTAGTTTTTATATTTATGCATTTCTCAAATGATCTTGTACTTGTATCGTCCTGTCACGCTAACCTGAGTGGTCTCAAAGTACGAAGCAGCCTGAAAACACGCAGGATGCCAAAGATTCTGGGACTGCTGTTGGCAACTAGAGAGATGAGGATATCGACAAGGGAGATAATCACCAGGAAGCCATCCATCACGTTCCAACCACTCTTTAGATAGGCATGCTTACCCACAAAGAAACCCTTAGCTATAACCTGAAACGTAATACATTAGTAACTCAGTTGGCCTGCTGTAACAATAAAAATCATTTTAAATTTGATTAAATCTACATATAATCAGAGAAAAAACATATAAAAACCATAAAAATACATATAACAATGCATTTACATTAAAGTACTCATTTTGATTTATAATAGCTGGATTCATTACTGCAGTATTAAGAAAGTATGATTACATTGCTCAGGAGCTGATCTTAGGCTTGTGCTATTTATTATTGGCTGAGATTAAATGATTTCTCCTTGGAGATACCCAGATAGCATTCGGACGTTGGGCCAATGTTGGCAATGTCTGAATGCTATCTGGGTATTGCTTCACTGAAAATGCATCCCAGATCTTTGCAGATCATTACATCGACAATCTAACGACATCACTTATCTTTCTGCCACTGAAGCTGGTTAGCTGTACTGAGTGAGTGAGTGAGTTTAGTTTTACGCCGCACTCAGCAATATTCCAGCTATATGGCGGCGGTCTGTAAATAATCGAGTCTGGACCAGACAATCCAGTGATCAACAGCATGAGCATCAATCTGCGCAATTGGGAACCGATGACATGTGTCAACCAAGTCAGTGAGCCTGACCACCCGATCCCTTCAGTCGCCTCTTACAACAAGACTGGTCGCCTTTTATCGCAAGCATGGGTTGCTGAAGACCTATTCTACCCCGGATCTTCACGGGGTCGTTAGCTGTACTGAATACACCCAGGACACGAGTAATTACTTCTTATAAAATGGAAAAGTGGAAGAAGGTTTCTGGATGATAAACAGAATCTCCCCATTGTGGCTTCCAAGCTTGATATATCAAAAGGTGTTTATAGACGTAAAAACATCCTTGACAATGTTATATGTTCCTTTCATCAACTGCTCATGATACATATGATAATGGAGTATATACAAGAGAGAACCCTCTGTGTAATTAATGATGAAATTAACCATGAAATTAACGATGAAGTCAACATACCTTGAGCACCATTTCAACTGCAAATATGACAGTGAAGACATAGTTGGATATTGTGAGAAACTGACGCTCCTGAAAAACAAAACCAAGAAAGCAATTATTAATACATAATGACTTATTCCTACAGTATGTTAGAACAATAGTAATATCAGAAAAATGTATCAAGGGAATGTTTATTGACAGTTTTATCAAATGTTGTCCATTTCCAGTTCACCTTATACTAGTTTCCTTTCAAATTATTGAAATAGATTTAGAAATATTTAAAAGAAAATAAAAATTCTGTGACTTCATGTTGACAAAATAAAATACATGAAAACATTCTTTTAAATTTTGTCTTAAACTTGTGAAAACTGGCACACCTGGGAACACACATTTGCACAGTACCAGTGAAAAGGAAATAGTTTGTGCAAGAACCAATACCAAACGGTACCATGAATCAATGCTGCACATCCAAAACATGAATAGGGGATTGAGGTTGGGACTGAGGTTGGGATTGAGGCAAGGATTAAACCACTAACTATTTGTGAACAACCACAATAAACCATGTGAACTATTTATATGTACTTGTGTATAAATCTGCAGACATTGATGTCCGTGACCAGAGGTCACCCAGCTAGTCTACGGAAGCCATGGCAAGTCTGATACAGATGTATACCAGTCGTTCATGTCAACTTGTCCACATGCTTCACTACAGTCAATGTGGAATGTGGAATGAGGAAATGATCAATAAATCTTGTGCAATGATTAGGTCAGCAATATTCCAGGAACATAATGGTGGCCTGTTGAAGCCTGGACCAAGCAAAAAAGTGATTGAAAGCAAGATCAACTCTCTACATTAACATGAAAACAATTTGCCAAGTCAAACAGCCCACCTTCATGATTAGGGTTGCCTGGATTCAAAGCAGCCATTGTAACGATGTAATCCACATCAATGTGGCCAAGTCAACAGTCTGTCTCCCTGATTAGAGTTTGTTTGTTTTCCTCCGTTCAATGCAGCCATTGTAACCATACAATCCACATCAATGTGGCTACAATCTGCCATGTCAAACAGTCTGTCTCCCTGATTAGAGTTTGTTTGTTTTCCTCCGTTCAATGCAGCCATTGTAACCATACAATCCACATCAATGTGGCTACAATCTGCCATGTCAAACAGTCTGTCTCCCTGATTAGAGTTTGTTTGTTTTCCTCCATTCAATGCAGCCATGGTAACCATACAATGCAAGATTCAGTTGGCTCTCATGAAAATAATATGGCTGAACTCTTGAATTGAAGAGTTTGAATTTGAGTGTCAAGATAACAATTAATCCTACAAACCATTACCACTAAATATGCTGATGAGAATTATCTTCTGGTTTCAAATCCAAAACTTTCTGATCAGGTTTTCCAAGCTACAGAATATTCAATCCAAGCATGCATGATTTTCAAGCTGTTTGCAAAATTTACAAAACTAATAATCTTCAAACATTTCATCAAATCTGTCATCTAGCAAGTGTTTACCTCATAAGAAACCTGAAAGAGTTTAATACAGGGTGCAACGTTAATAAACACTCAAATCAATAAAGGAAGTCATATTAAGGGTACCAGATGGAAAAAGCAAGGGGTTGAAAGATTTCAAATGAAATTAATAGGAACGGTTATACAATAATCTTTAATTCACATAAAAACAAGAAACTGTTAAGCAACAGAAACACTCAAAATTAGGAAACAAACTGATGAGTTAAAGGGAATGGTTCGCGACCAATCGCAGGGTTTATATTGTTGCTATTCTGCTTCTATCTTCTCTTTGTGTGTTCAAATATTTGATCAAGAATCAGGACATTTCATGGAATTACATTGACATTATTATAAAAAAGGTACCAAACTAAAGGAGGAATATTTGACTTATGGTATACCTGTTTACGAAATAGAACTGCAGAACTTAAACAATATCAAATCCAAACTATATCTGCCTTGTTCTGCATTTGTGAACAGTTCCATTGATGCCGGTCATCTGGCCTTCACGAACCTTCTTTCAGCAGTTTTATGTACATGTTTATAGCTAGTAACTTAATATGGCCATCTGAATAGAGAAACTCGACTTAACTTTCATATAAATGTTTAACGTAGGGATGTGAGTTGGATGTAGCATATTGGGAAAATGTCTGGATTTGGAGTCAGTATCCCGCAGTGGTTAAACACCATTTATTTTCAGATAAGTTCCTGTGTAAAACACTGAAAGCATATTAGACTTTACACAATGTACCTAAGTGGGGAATTGAACTGAGGTCTTTATCATGACTTGCAAAAGCCTTAACCAGTACCCAAAAACACTTATCTACCTCACCACCCCAACAAATGACAAGAATATTCATCCCAGACTCATGAAAATGATTTTTAGTTCTTGCTAAGGCTAAACACAGATCTGAGGACATCCCATTGAAACTGCTTTACATTCAAGGTTCAGAGTGTGTAACAAATTTCAGATTAATTGTCACAACGCAAGTTGAAGGTCATCATGGTCCATAAGTGATTGAGTTTTTTGCTGCTGATAGAAATATTCCAGCAATATCACGACAGGGGGGCGTAGACATCGGTTTTATACAGTGTTCCCATATGGGAATGGATCCCAGCCTTTCCCACTATACTAACCAACTCCTCAGCCTGGTCCACTGGACCACCTCAGAGGGTGGAGAGTGTGGCAAAGAGGACTTGGGACATGAGATGGTATCCTGACAGCTACTTACCACACTCTCTGGTGGAATGTCCGGCCTCTCCATGGCGAGCGTAATGCAGTTGAGAGCGATAAAGAACAACACAGAGTTGTCAAACCACTTCCGTGAGATCAGATGGTGGCATATTTTCCTCAAGCTGAAAGACAGGAATGTAATATTATACACAGGTGACAATCTTTTTTCGGTAATCCTCACTGAGCACCATAATTTGTGCTTCATACTCATTGTGTCAAACTGACAACATTTTCTCAGAAACAAGACTATAAGTACGACAACAAAGAACCTGGAAAGTTGGCATTATGGATTTTCTGTCTTTTCGCAAATTATTTTTGAAAGTTCCTTCCAACAATTCCCAAAATTCATTCAGAAAAGATATTTCCAATATTCAAGTCTTGTAGTTTATTCTCCAAGAACACAATGTAATAATATTTTTTAGCTGGATTACAAAACTTCAAAATATTGGTCCTTCCTGGGCCCCATTCCTCAAAGCGATCGTAGGGCTAAGGTGATCTTAACTCCCATACTTTAACATAGACTTACGACTGTCGTAGCGTTACAATCGCTTTGAGGAATGGGGCCTAGATGCTTAAGTACCTACAAGGTGTATTCATTTAGTATGGAAAGTACTCGTTCCATTTGTGTAATTGTGCCACTGAATGTGTACAATTCTATTTTCTGCTAAGCACATGTTAACTTGTCAAAACAGGCCATTATATTTTGGAACGATATGAAGCATAATTTGTCATTTCACAGTTTACAGTGAGTCTGTGTAGTATTACTACTATAAAAATGCCTGAGGTTTTATGTAGTTAGTAGAATACACTGCACAGACCAGTGTGCGAAATAGTGTCCAAATTTTGCTAGCCAGTCGGGCTAGCTATGCCTGATTGTTACTAACCCACAAAATAATTCACTAGCCCGAAATTTGAATGTAGAAACTAAGCAAAAGATTACAAAAATAGATGAGAATAAGATATTGTCGACATGACACAGGTTTCATCATTAAGCTGCTAATATGATGGACATTTGTATCAGGCCATAATCTTGCATGATTTAAAAGTGTATTATAACTTAACAAGTCGGAGAGAGTGATAGATTTACAAAATGAACCCACTAGACTGTGGAGATTCTCTGGCCCGAGTGGATTTTTACTAGCAACGGGCTAGTGGGCCAGTGCCTATTTCGCACACTGGCACAGACCCAAGCATGGACCTGAGCATACTTACAAGTTGTCCATTGACATGAGGTAGAGGCTGTATTCTCTCCGAGTTTTGAAACATCCTTTCGGCTCAGGTAACCAGGAACAGTTCCAGTCCTGAAGAATACAGAGATTCCACAACTCTTCAAGCACTTGCATAAAGACACTGAATGTTTCAAATCAAATGGGCTATGAACAGAACATATTTTGAGACCAGGAATAGTTTTAAAATTTAATAAATATGTACATTAAAGGCACATGTTTACTGCACATTCAGCAATACAGATCTTTTCGATTTGTGAAGTGTTGATTTATGTTACTCTTACATCATGAACAGTCAACAGAAAGTACTCGACGAGTCAAACTGATGAGTCAGCTCAAATAACAAATGTCTTCTAGCCATCTTGCAATATATTATTATTAATAATTCGTGGGTGTGGTGTAATGCTACTCTGAAGAATATGTAAGAGATTATTATGGTGTCTCAGTTTGATGTGGGAAGAAAGTAACTGATGCAAGTCTTCGATGTTTACCACTTTATGGTACAGAACACCTGGAAACTGAATAATATGGGTCAACTTGGATTCAAACCTCTGATGCTAGGTTTGATCCTAGGCATGATAAGGGAAGCAACTCTGTTAATTATGTTGGTTTTGATGACAGGGTCCCCAGCACTCCAGTGGAAGGAGTGGGTGAGTATGGTTTTATGCTGCTTTTAGCAGTATTCCAGCAATATCATGGTATGAACACCAGGAATAGGCTTTACATGTACATTGTATGGGGTGTCAAACTTGTGTCTTCAGTGTGACGAGGGAACACTTTAACCACTAGGTTACCCCACCATCCCCCTCCCTCATGTTGAAGGAAGCAGTGTTGGGAGTAAACTTACAGTCTCATCCATGGCATCTGGATCCTCCTCTCCTTCAAAGTCTTCCTTATCACAGCTGACCTTGACCTCAGGGGGATCACTCAGGTTGTTAGGCTTGTACTCCTCCTTGGAGGCTCCACTGCCCATGGAGTTGAGAGTTCGGTGGCTTGTGAACGAGTTCTGTCTACTGAGTTCAAAGGAGTTGCAAATACTACGACTGCTACTGACGGAATTGTTGCGACTCCAGCTGTGGTTGCTCTTGATGGAGTTCTTGGGCGTGAGAGCCTTGTGACCCTTGACTGAATTCTGGGGACTAAGTGTTCTTTGGTTGTTGAGGGGTGGGTGGCCATTGCAATCACTGAAAATGATGAGGTCATATTGTCTTTACACAAAAACTCAACACTCAGAAAGATCATAAAAAATCAGAATAATCTTAACCCAACTAGATTTCTTACCAGCTTACCGGTTCCCTTTTCAGATGCTTTCAGCTATGTGGTTGTCTATCTTGGCAGTCTGCTACGTTAAACACCATAATACTGTCCGATAATAGTGAATTTATGTGAGGTTCATAATCATCAATATTCCAGCTTCATACATTCAGCAATATTTCAGCTCATATATTCAGCAATATTTCAGCTCATACATTCAGCAATATTCCAGCTTCATATATTCAGCAATATTTCAGCTCATATATTCAGCAATATTTCAGCTCATATATTCAGCAATATTTCAGCTCATATATTCAGCAATATTTCAGCTTCATATATTCAGCAATATTTCAGCTCATATATTCAGCACTATTTCAGCTTCATACATTCAGCAATATTTCAGCTTCATACATTCAGCAATATCACAGCTATATTAAGCTATTGATTACAATCTGTTTCTAACCGACATCTTATGAAGATAGCAGGACACATATCCAATGATCAATGGCCATTCAGTGACACCTAACCCCATTGTGTCCATCCAATACACATGGGTGAAAAATCTGATATCTATGATAACCTCAATGAAGATGGGATTGATTAGATTCAACATGAAACCAAACAAAAATGTTAGTAAAGATAATAATTAGTATGTTTACATGCAAATGGGAATTTAATTTTTTAATGCTTTGAAGAAATAATTTCTGTGTATCCATTAGCATAGACACGATGCAGACAGTTATATCAGTAACTTTGATTATTCAGAACAGGCTTTGTTTGTTAGCATTCACACCATTGGGGGGGATTGTAAACAAGGAGGAGGGAGGGGAACACAAGACAATCCACCATAGAATTATGATTGTACAACACAAACAAGAACTACAATAGGATTGGACAGAAAATAATAGGATAAAACGAAGTTAACACACACTACACATCACCATTTTCTGATGTTACATCTAACATATTATTTTTTTTTTAAACATTCAAACGTTACTGTCAATACACGTCCCCACATGTCTGATGGGGTCCCCACAGATAGGAGACTTGGTCTTAATATGCCTTTGTTCACCCAGCTTGATGCTCAGCTATCTGACAGTATGCCTTCTACCGACTCACGACAGCTTAGTATATATACTCCCCAAGGAGCTGAGAATAGTTTAAACTCACCCAAAATGATAACAATACAGTGCTATCAGCATTCACTTGAATAGAATGTGATCATTTAGAAATGGACCAATTATTATTACATTTACAGAATAAAAACCAAATAGGGTTTAGATGATCGTACACAGTCAGGCAGGTTATAGGCTCATCACTAGACTGATGCTTTCTTTCTGAATATAAACAAAAATTGATTGAAACAAATACTTCCATTTAATTTGAAAAAGAGCCCCAGTGAGATGGTAGATTAACCTGAGGAAACCTAGACTTGCTTCATTTAGGGCTTTAGCATTGCAGAAAGGGCTAGGCAGTAGGAAAATAATGCAGTTCAGGGACTGTAATACAGACTAGCTTATCACCAGCTCTGGGCCTAGATTTTCGAAGCTCTCTTAATGCTAAGATATTCGTAAGTGCATACATACATTAACATTAACTTACGACTATCTTAGTGCTAAGAGAGCTTCTAAAATCAAGGCCCTGGGCCCTAGCCAAAACTACGCTCAGCCCAGACAGCTACTGGGACCTCTCCCAAGAAGAACTACCCAGTCCAGTCCACCAAGACGCTTGAAACGCTCTACTGCTACAGAAACCTAGCACACTACAGCTGATAAACAAATGACAGGGACACACTACAGGTGGGTCATGCTATCAACAACAGACTCATGCAGTTCAATACCTGAAGAAATATGTGACAGAGTAGCTGAAATGAACAGATGATGGAATGCAATAGACAAGGCATTGATTGACATGTACATTCTCTACTGTGATGAGGTGAGCGAAGTGGCTACTGATGAGAATGAATATTGACATGAATAAACAAGAGTCATCAGAAGATGACAAATCCTCCCGGTCCCCATAAATTTGAAAGAACAAATCAACCGACAGTTACTTGATTTTTTTAGTCCAACTTGTTTTTTTGGACTAAGTCCGAATCGTTTCCAAGGAAATCATAAAAAATTAAAATGCCAAAAATCTGCAAATAGCAAAAGGCAATACTTCAAGATCTGTTTGATATATCTGTAAAGTCTTGTAGAAAGATATTGAACGATTTTCGAGTTGTGATCCGGAAACGAAACACACCCCTCCGATTTGAGATTAAGTCCAAATCATTTCCATGGAAACCAAGAAAAATAAAAATGACAAAAACCTGCAAATAGCAAAAGGCACCACTTTGGGATCTGCCTCACATATCTGCCAAGTTCTGCTGAAAATTATTAAACGGTTTTCAAGTTGTGCTCCGGAAATGAAGCCCACCCCTGCCGCGAAAAATAAAAATGCCCAAAATCTGCACATAGCAAAAGGCACCATTTTGGTTATGTTTGGTATATCTACTAAGTCTTGAAAAAAAATAAATTGGTTATCGAGTTGTGCTTCGGAAACGAAGATCACCCCTCCCTTTTGAGATTAAGTTCAACCCATTTCCGTGGAAACCAAGAAAAATACAAATGACAAAAATCTGTAAATAGCAAAAAGCACCACTTTAGGTTCTGTTTGATATATCTACCAAGTCTTGAAGAAAGAAATTGATCGGTTTTCGAGTTGTGCTTCGGAAACGAAGGTCCCCCTTTCCTTTTGAGATTAAGATCGTTTCCATGGAAACCGAGAAAATAATAAATCACAAAAGTCTGTAAGTAGCAAAAGGCACCACTTTACATTCTGTTTGATATATCTACCAATTTTTGTTGAAAAATATTGAATGGTTTTTAGTTATGCTCTGGAACAAAATGATTACGAACGGACGAGGCGTTGACAATATCACATAAATATCACATCCTGGGTCCCGATCCACAAAGCGTTCGTAGCGCTGCGATGTTCGTAAGCCTAAGGTAAATTATAGAGTTACGACAGGTCATAATGCTACGAATGCTTTGTGGATCAGGACACTGGACAAAAAGAAGCAATGTCATCTGAGTCTGAAACAAAAGTAATCTCATTCTTCTCTACTTATGCAGCAAGGTAGTTTTTGATACAGTTTGATTTCTGATGTAACCTTTTTCATTTGCATGTTGATAACAATGCTTTCTGATGATTGTAAACCTAACTGTAAAATAGATTATCATCAACATGTTGAAAGAAGCTGTATTTCTTTAGTGGAATGAATGAGGTGAGGTGAGGTGAAATTGGGCTTAACGTCGTACTTGAGAATATTTCGCTCATATGACGACGTGCATGCGTGTGTATGTGTAGGTGCGGCTGCTTGTACTGGCCCAGACTGAAGCTGGTTTTATAGTGCTAGCCCACTGAGATACCATGCCACAGTGAAGCATGAATACCCCACTCAGACACATTATACTGACTCCAAGCCGACCAGTCCTTGTTGTACCCATTAATGCCGAGCACCAGGCAGGGACCAACAAGTACCATATTTTAACGTCTTTTGGTATGACGAGGTCGGGGATTGAACCCACGACCTTCCGCTCTCCGGGCGGATGCTCTAACCACTACACCACGAAGGCGGTCAGTGGAATGAATGAACTAATCTACCCTACAAACAATCATACTGTAAACCATCATAGACTGGGCAGTTATTTGAAACACTTCTTCATAAACATGAATATTCAGTATAGTCCACAAGTTAGACTAATGTATTTCTTAAATTTTGTTTGGATCTGGGATGACTGCCACAGTCAGCAATATTCCAGCTATATCACAGCATTTTGAAAATAGTCAAGTCATGACCACACAAACCAGTGCTTGAAAACAAGACCAATAATGCATGCCACTGGAGTCCGATATCTCAACAAATCAACCTGTCTGACCAACCAATCCTCGTTAGTCACCTATGATGAGTGACTTAACTCAGCAATATCCCAGATATATCAGGACATTTGAGTCTGGACCAGGCAATCAAGTGATTCTAACCCAGTTCTAACCCAGTTGATCAGTTCTAACCCAGTTGATCAGCTCTAACATCAAGCATAGTGTACTACTATGTTCTCACAAACCAAACTGGCCTACCAAGGAATTATGATTGTAGCTGAATCTTTACATGTATACTGTCCCCAAAATGTTTTCAAATGAAAAAAAGGTTTGAAAACCCGAGAAGTTGACGCAGTCTAATTTCGAGGACATATTTTCAAAAAAGACATTTACCCATGATTGTTGGGGGTTCTGGGGGTTCCCGGTGTGTAGGTTGGGGACTGAGATTGGTTCAGTGTAAACACATCGTCATCGAGATCGTCTCCGCTGTCTGACTGGCTGTCCACAACAAGACTGGTCTTCTCAGCGTCACGGCGCCGATGTTTCAGGCGCCAGCTGCTGCTGCGCTGACTTCCACGGCTACTGGTCCGGCGAAGTTTGGGGAGGGTCGGGGAGAACCTCGGAAACTGAGGCTTGTCTGTGGAAGAGAGGCATAATAGTACATCTACATGTAATAATATTTGATATTTTAAAAAAAGCTATTATAGATAAATAAACCTGCATATCAGAATTCATTTGAACAAATCTTCTCTCAAACACATTCAGCTACAGAATTGTGGACATATAAGTACCAGCTCTAATCATGATTACTTGCAGACTGGCTTTGAGGAGCAAAGTGGGACAGAATACAAATATAGTAATGTACAAAATCGTATGACGAACACGACCAGCTACTTACCGATGTTCGCTCGGATTCTACTGAAAGTGTGCTACGTTGGATACTACGGCCCATGGATACAGCTAGCTTGTTGTTGATGTCTTTAAGAGCACTCTCATTGGGCGATCCCTGAGGTGTTGCCATGGGCGTGGCTGCAGTGTGTGTTATGATTGGTGGATTTAGAGGGCCATCAGGTTGTGGTGGCGCCGCCATCACAACCTGTGCTGTGTTGTCCTCCTTGGTGACTGCGACAGGAGGGGGAAGAGCAAGCATTTTCTTCTCTAAAAAAACAAGGATTATGTCATCATTTAGAATACAATAATTCATCTTGTGTAATTCCATGGAAACGTGAATTTGTATATTTTTTAGAGAAATACTTTGTAGATCACATAAAATTGAAGAAGAAGATCAAACAACTATTTAACAGATCACAATAATATAACGTAATGTGATATAATATGAGTTAGTATGGTACAATGCCACTTGGCAACATTCTAGCATACATCAGCGGGGGACACGAGAAATGGGCTTCATACTTTAAACTCCTGTGGGAATTGATTCCAGGTCTTCAGCATGACGAGCTAACACTAACCACTAAACTACCTCACCATCTTGCAATGTAATGTAACATAATGTAAAATAATTGTGTACTTCTAAATTCAATATTTCATTGCAATAAAATATGTGTATGCCAACGGCCACAGATATATTCTTCAAGGGGAAAGAATGACATAATACATAATTATGTTTTTTTAATAAGCATTAAAATGCACATCGACAGTTTCCAAGATAATATTCCTGCTTATCTGTCTAGCCCTATTTACTTTATATTCTGGAATGGGAATATCATACTGACTATCATTCAGTAAAATGGAAACATTAGCATTCAAAAGTGATGTATTTTCCCCAAGATAGGTGCCACTGATGACTTACCTTTTTCTTTGTTATTCTTGACATCAACCTCACTACTGTTGAGTTTGTCTTTATCCTTTTGAGCATCATCAATGTTGTTATTCTCCGCCAGCCTCTGTTTCTCCTTCTCCTCCAGTTCTTGTTCCACCATTTCTTTAGCCTTATCCTTCTTCTTCTCGTCGTCCTGAACAACCCAAGTGTAGTCAGTAAACACGAAGTGTGACAAAGCCAACATGTGGTTGATAGCACCATCACCCAAGTGACATTGTAACTCCCATTCCCATTTTAAAACACCCGCATGATCAGAGGGAATTATTTCTCAAACTGAAACTGATTTATTGAAAAAGCATATGCAGGTATTGTAGCTTCTGTCTTTACTTAGAAAAGCGTGATATCGGTTTATCTGAGGGATTAACCTATTAGCATATCTCTAAAGTGGCAAAAAAATTCCGACTCCCATGCTGGGATTAAAACCACAGACCTCCTGATCCGAAGTTGGACACCTTGTCCACATGATCAAAGAGGTTAACCCTCCTACAGGATTTCATCTGTAGGATGACTCCACGCCCTGCTACATACTTCCCCATCAACAGAAGGCACATCCTGGGTTGCATAGTAGGGTACTGAGACTTATTTTACTCAAATTTAATAAGAGCGTATTAACCGTTATATTCGGTGCCAATGTTGTGACCACACCCTGCAATATCTCCATACTACAACAATGATCAAAATCCAAGACCCATTCACAACCCACAGCTATCTTCTCAGTAAAATCTTATAGCATGATTCCTAAAGTCACATTCATTGTAAGAGCTGTATTAAAAAACACTTTGCCCTCATTCTGTTTTCTCACCTCTGTTGAAAATCCCTCCACCAAGATGGCAACAAGAAGATTGAAAAGTACATAGTTTCCAAATGTCATTAAAGCAATGAAGTACAGGAGGCCCATGGAGATGTTTTATCCATGCCGTTATATAACACAGTGTTCCAATCCTCCTGTGTCAATACCTGAAATGTACAACAACGTCAACAAGCATAACAATGGGAACAATGTTTCATTATGTTTCTTTATGTACATATCTTATCCTTACATATCATTATGTACAATATAGCTAAAATGTCATAAAATGTAACTAAACTAGAACTATATACTGTTTACCATTACTTACAATGTAACTTAATTAGAACTATGTACTGTTTACCATTACATACAATGTAACTAAATTAGAACTATGTACTGTTTACCATTACATAAAATGTAACTAACATGGTAATATGTAATGTTTACCATTACATACAATGTAACTAACATGGTAATATTTAGTGTCTTCCATTACATACAATGTAACTAAAATAACATGTTGTAATGTAACTAAAATGGTACTATTACTGTTTACCATTACTTACAATGAAACTAACATGAAAATATAGTGTCTTCCATTACATACATTCTAGAATGTAACTTACATGGCAATATGTAATGTTTACCATTACTTACAATGTAACTAACATGGAAATATACAGAATTTACCATTACATACAATGTAACAAAATGGTACTATATACTGTTTACCATTATTCAAATGTAAAGTATATGTCACCAAAATTCCTTTGAAAATTTTCATGTTTTATTTATTTGGCCTTTTATGTCAAAGAAGTAGTATATTTTTAATTTTTAAAATACAATTACAATCATCAGAATCAGGTATTAATAAATGAACAGTTAATTCCATTACAAAACACTGTATGAGTCAACAGGGGTGTTGTGTTTCAAACTACACAGCAAACACATGTTTAGTAGACTTTGTTACAGATACCTCAACACCATGCAGTTTGTGGTTACAGATATGCAGTACCAAGGACTGTACAAACTTATAACACTAACATCATCTGTAACCTAACTGTCATAACTCATGTATTCATACTCATGTATCATTTCTTCTACACATAATCAAATATACAACATATTATACAAACATACTTATACAAACTTTTCACAGATGATAATATTTTTGTAATAAATATATCAATTACTTAAGACATTTATTATGTGAAAATTTGCTTTAAACATGTACTTTTACACAGAGAAAATTAATTTGTATCATTTGCCATCAACCGAAGACTGATAGTTAAGATTACTTTTATATTATATTTGATGGCAATATGTAAGGTAATAATGTAATGAATAGTTATCAATTTGGAAGCATACTCTACCTGAAACACAGTGACAAGTGACCACAGAGTCGAGTCAAAGTTGACCCGATCACAAAAGCAAGTTACGTTATTGCTGCGTAGATCTGCACATGTGCAGGAAGATCCGTCCTCACGCTCACAAAATTTACCACCAAACAGATTCATTCCTAGGATACTGCATGCGGTAAGGGGGAGAAACGGGAATTAAACACACACCATTTAGAGGTTTCACAGGGCTATACATGTTGTCATTGTCACATAGACAACACCACACTGATAGGGACTAGCTTAGATATAAGACGTCAATTTCAAGACGTCATGAAATTAACATGGAATTGACATGAAATTAAGATGAATGGGCTGAAATCTTGGCTCATTTTTTCTTCATTTATTAAGTTTTGAATTTTGGCAATTATTTTATCACGAAATCACAACAGCTTGGTGAAGTCTAAATGAAAATGACAGTTATACCAATTTCTGTCATATTGTCAAAGTGACTTCAATGTTTGAATTTTTTTGTCACAAGACAAGTATTGACAGAATATCAAACTTATAACTGTCAGTTCCTTCACATTCCAAATATTTCTCACGACAGACTCAGATTTGTTAATGAAACAAATTTCGAAATAAGCATCTTGGGATCACTCCTGGGACTAGACGAGAAATGGTGTAGTTTGACATGAGTTGTGAGGGTGACATTTTCAACAGCAGGGATGAACACATGACTTGGCGATAGTTCACTCACTCGCTGACAAATACTTGGACGCAAATTGGACAAAACGTCAGTTTCGGGACAAGGACGTACATTTCACATGTATTACAATCAATCATGCACTGTCCTAGATCTAGCCCTATGTACACAAACTAATATATGGTTTCACAGGCCTGAGGAATGACATTTTACCAGTTCATTTAAGCCATTATTACCAGTAATACATGCCAAAGTTAAGTCCAATATACAATCACATCACAAAAATGTACAAAACCAAATTTCCAACAATTCTTTTTCCCAAACATGTGACATTTTTCATTCAGTTGTGCATACAAACATTAACGACACAAATTATATTTATATGCATGCTCTTATATGTGAGGCATTAACAGGATATTAATATTATAAGTTAAAATAGATACAAAATAAAACAGGCAAACAAGCATTTGATTGGTTATATTATGTAAAACACAAATGAAATACATTTACGTGTTATATATACAAGCATTCTATTGAAATATCTGGTAAGACCATGCAGTGGATATTACTTAAGTGAAATTGAAAAAACAAAAGTTACTTCATACGACTCAACTACTGATGAAATTCCTTGCACAAAGTGAAACATTTTGCACAAATTGCCACATAAAACCAGGCACAGCTAAGACACTTAGAACTTAAAATACCATTCCTCAAATTCGAATGAAACCATATTGAAAAGGATTGGCTCAGCACCATGCTGGTTAAGCCTACTAACTACCTTGGCAATGAAAGAGCTGAAAGACTAGTATCTACACTACTGCCACTTCAGTAAAGAGAATGGCAGAACAGAATAGCTAGGTACTCTCTAGGACTCGAGGAATAAAACCGGGCTAAACGGAACAGGGTTCAAAGGTTAGTTGGGAGGTAATTTGGGCATGCTGACGTGTCTCACCATACCTGAAAGACAGTTATAATCGCCCAGAGAAGGGAATCAAAATTCCGGCGATCACATTGTCGCCTGCCTTGTTTTTCAGTACAGAACTTACAGCCAAACAAGTTCATTCCCAAGATGCTAAAGTCGTAAATTTTTCAGGAGCAGAAAAATAAAAAAAGAAATAATTTATGAAACTCTTTGTTCAAAAGGCATAGATATAAGAATGACATGATCAAGAGATTAACAAATTTAACCTTTAACAGAGTAAAGAATTCAGAATTGAGAAAATATGTAGAATTGTGTTATATACTTTGCATACAAATCTTACATTATTAGTAATTGTAACATTACTTAAAATGTTTTTATAGATGTAAAAAAAGACAATGGCAAGTGGAATAAATACCTGAATATGAACATAAACAGAAGAAGAAGTGCAAAGAAAGTGGCCACATTGTCCATGGTACGTAGCATGACCACTAGTTGGCGCCGGAGTGCCGGCAAGAAGCGCACTAGCTTGAGAATACGTAACAAACGGAATGTACGAAGGACAGACAGTCCACTGGCGCCACCCTGGGCAAGTTCCACGATACTGCAAAAGACAAGACATTGTGGTACTTTGATTGGATGGCTATTCCACTTCAACTTCCTTATGGTAAATGTTCATGTTAAATGTCATAATCATACACCTCCCATTTACTAAAACAGATTTTCATGGATTGTTGCTAGTTTCCATGTTTCTTTGTCATAGAATTTATCATGAAAATATCTGCTTTTCTTTACCAGGATTTAAGAAAAATCATCAATCATACATCAAACATACTTTTTTTTTTAATTGCAACATTAGCCACACAGACTTTAATCAAGCAATATGAAAACTGCAGTCAGGGAATAGCTGAAATTGTTTTTGGCCTATGGAAATTATAATGCAGTGAATATTGCCAATTGTATGCCTTGGAATCAGTTGTATTTAGCCAAACCTGTAGAGGTTTTCAATTCTTTGAAGAGAATCTTCCTTGGGGTACATATATGCATTTTCTGTGACTGAAAATGTCATGTGACAGTTGTAACAATGATTTAATAAAATATTGTACAATAAATAAAAAAGCCTTTTTAATTACTATACGGCCCCCACCACATGGAGTTACCTCCCCTACCAACCATGCGAGGCCAACCAGGTAAGCACCCATGCCCAAATCATCAATATGGTATATGTAAGAGCATCTCCACACGAGATGGGAAAGACATGAATTACAGACAGAGAGGTCAAAGTTTAGAGGGGAAAACACCTACATTATGTTGTCATTAGTGAAAGTTGGTGAGTGAGCTTTATACATGTCATAAATGATTTGGCTAACTAATACATGTCTTAACATCTTCACAACACTACTGCCCCCTAGAAAAGGAACATTGACATGTCTGAATATGAAACTCAGAGTATCTACCTGTTTGCAGACATATTTGATAGCTTACCTGAGTATGACTATGAACCCATCGAAGACGTTGAATCCATCGCTGATGTACCCATACAGGCCATAGGCCAACAGCTTGGACAGCATCTCTGCACCAAAGAGGACGCTGAATGCGATGTTGCTGTACTCGAGTATCAGAGTCAGCTCGTCAGGCTGGAAGACAAAAATACTTTCATGATTAACAGCCTGATAACATGGGAACATATCACACTACGTCAATAGAGAGTGAGTGAGTTTAGTTTTACACCACTTTTAACAATATATCAGCAATATCATGGCAGGGACACCAGAAATGAGCTTCACACATAGTGCCCATGTGGGGAATTGAACCCGGGTCTGCGGTGCGACATGACATCAATAACACCTGTGTTAAAAAAGTTAGACACCCCCTGATTCTTTACTATTAGCATAAAAGATCCTAACAAACGTGCATTATACTTAGACAGATATGTCCATCCTTCTGTAGTTGGGATGCTGTGGCATATTTTCATCACTCTTTCTCTCTGTCACACACATACACACCTTTTAACACACAAACACACTCACTCACTGGTCTAATTGTTAATCTGTTCACACTTATTAACCTATTCACCCACACACTCACTGATGTTCCTTCACACATTAACTGTACCCGAGAAGATCAGGGTTAGAATTGATCTTCAGTAACCCATGTTTGCTGTAAGAGGCGACTAACGGGATCAGGTGGTTAGGCTCGCTGTCTTGGTTGACACGTGTCATCTTATCCCAATTGCGTAGGTCAATGCTCATGATGTTGATCACTGGATTGTCTGGTCCAGATTCGAATATTGCTGTGTGTTGCATAAAACTAAACTCATTCACTCACTCACTCATCTGTTCCTCCACACATTCACTAAATGATTCACTAACAGTACTAACCCACACAAGTTCACATGCTCAGACCAACTGACCTGCTTGTGGTACTCCAACCCCATGCTGAGGGTGTTGAGCAAGATAGCCCCAAGGATGCCACGCTGGAAAAATTTGCACTCTACAAACTTAACCATGAAACTGGTGAATTTGTTGATCCAATCTGAAACAAACCAGAGTATAATTACATATCGTTCTGTTAGAGCGTCAACTTGAGATTTAACAATGCTTACAATATATTTCATCAAGAAAAAACATACTGGATGAGTGTATGACTTCACAGAATGAGATGAGAAAATTAATGCTTCCACCTATATCTGAAATTTCAGAAAAGAAAGGATTTCCAAACTGTGGCAATATATAAAGACAGCCATTTCATAATATTATCATTACAAACGACTAAACTTTGATGTGACAATAACTTAAGGGAGATCACTGACACCAAGGTGACCATGAGTTCTCTCCCTTTAAATGAGGGAGGTAGCCATTTTGTTGACTAAGTTAAACATATTTGAAAAATATTTCCATCAGTATGTGTCAATGATTTGGGCAAAACTCTTAACAAAAATATTCAGACTACACCAGCCACACTTGCTATGAATTCTGCAAGCTGGTTATTTGTAGAGAATTGTAAAGTGAATTAAGAACAAATTTACTCGATGCAACAGCACAACATATCATGCATGTTTCAAATCAACAACCACCTATTGGTTGTGCTTATGGTTTGTTGATCACTCTTCTGGTACAAAACATGTTCAATGTAATGAGACTGTCATCAGAATCACAAGGTAACGCATTAATGAACCTTGCAAGTACATCTCACTATGCTACCTACACTATCTATGGACAAAACGAGGGAACTACAAGGGATCTGTCTACACAGGCTTTGGTTGGACATTTACATAGAAACAGTAAGGAAGAGTTTGGAATACTGAGTGGCTAAAGCTGTGAACTGAAGGAGTGGATACCAGATCCAGGGTATGGTAGGGGCTTAATATAAGATACAAATCCTGGATCTGGATATACTGTCCGAGAGGCATACTTGTGGAATACAAGATGCTGATCTAGGATTGGGAAGAAGGGACATACTGACTGAGAAGCCAGCATACTTGTGGAGGTGGAACACAAGATGCTGATCTAGGATTGGGAAGAAGGGCATACTGACTGAGAAACCAGCATACTTGTGGAGGTGGAACACAAGATGCTGATCTAGGATTGGGAAGAAGGGCATACTGACTGAGAAACCAGCATACTTGTGGAGGTGGAACACAAGATGCTGATCTAGGATTGGGAAGAAGGGCATACTGACTGAGAAACCAGCATACTTGTGGAGGTGGAACACAAGATGCTGATCTAGGATTGGGAAGAAGGGCATACTGACTGAGAAACCAACATACTTGTAGGAGGTGGAACACAAGATACTGATCTAGGATCTAGGGAAGAAGGGCATACTGACTGAGAAACCAGCATACTTGTGGAGGTGGAACACAAGATGCTGATCTAGGATTGGGAAGAAGGGCATACTGACCGAGAAACCAGCATACTTGTTGAGGTGGAACACAAGATGCTGATCTAGGATTTGGGAAGAAGGGCATACTGACTGAGAAACCAGCATACTTGTTGAGGTGGAACACAAGATGCTGATCTAGGATTGGGAAGAAGGGCATACTGACTGAGAAACCAACATACTTGTGGAGGTGGAACACAAGATGCTGATCTAGGATTGGGAAGAAGGGCATACTGACTGAGAAGCCAACATACTTGTGGAGGTGGAACACAAGATGCTGATCTAGGATTGGGAAGAAGGGCATACTGACTGAGAAACCAGCATACTTGTGGAGGTGGAACACAAGATGCTGATCTAGGATTGGGAAGAAGGGCATACTGACTGAGAAACCAGCATACTTGTGGAGGTGGAACACAAGATGCTGATCTAGGATTGGGAAGAAGGGCATACTGACTGAGAAACCAACATACTTGTGGAGGTGGAACACAAGATGCTGATCTAGGATTGGGGAAGAAGGGCATACTGACTGAGAAACCAACATACTTGTGGAGGTGGAACACAAGATGCTGATCTAGGATGGGAAGAAGGACATACTGACTGAGAAACCAGCATACTTGTGGAGGTGGAACACAAGATGCTGATCTAGGATTGGGAAGAAGGGCATACTGACTGAGAAACCAGCATACTTGTGGAGGTGGAACACAAGATGCTGATCTAGGATTGGGAAGAAGGGCATACTGACTGAGAAACCAGCATACTTGTGGAGGTGGAACACAAGATGCTGATCTAGGATGGGGAAGAAGGGCATACTGACTGAGAAACCAACATACTTGTTGAGGTGGAACACAAGATGCTGATCTAGGATTGGGAAGAAGGGCATACTGACTGAGAAACCAGCATACTTGTGGAGGTGGAACACAAGATGCTGATCTAGGATTGGGAAGAAGGGCATACTGACTGAGAAACCAGCATACTTGTGGAGGTGGAACACAAGATGCTGATCTAGGATTGGGAAGAAGGGCATACTGACTGAGAAACCAGCATACTTGTGGAGGTGGAACACAAGATGCTGATCTAGGATTGGGAAGAAGGGCATACTGACTGAGAAACCAGCATACTTGTGGAGGTGGAACACAAGATGCTGATCTAGGATTGGGAAGAAGGGCATACTGACTGAGAAACCAGCATACTTGTGGAGGTGGAACACAAGATGCTGATCTAGGATTGGGAAGAAGGGCATACTGACTGAGAAGCCAACATACTTGTGGAGGTGGAACACAAGATGCTGATCTAGGATTGGGAAGAAGGGCATACTGACTGAGAAACCAGCATACTTGTGGAGGTGGAACACAAGATGCTGATCTAGGATGGGGAAGAAGGGCATACTGACTGAGAAACCAACATACTTGTGGAGGTGGAACACAAGATGCTGATCTAGGATGGGGCATACTGAAGCTAGCATTCTTGTGGAGGTGGAACAGGTTTGAGGGAGTGATGCATTGACCATAATGTTGGCCTTATGATTATGGGACACTGGTAATGTCAACAGGCAATCGGTCTGAAGGGTATGGGGAGGCAATGGAGACAGCCATTATATTGATCATAGTCATCATGATTATCACCAAGTTGAAAACTACACCAGCACCATGTCACCATACATAAACCATACTCTCAGTACATACAGGGGATTCCAGGCCTTTACTTCAGTCTTAGTGGAAGAAGTATTGTAACTTTAAGCTAAAATCATCACATTACATGTTTCAAATTGGTCAATTTCCTAAAAATCAACAAGAACCTTTTAAGGTCTGCCCACTTCAGCAATAGGACACAATGAAAAATATGAATGAAAAGTGTGACTGTGCTGCTCGAACGTACAGTTCAGACTGACAAACATCAAAACGGCCATACTGCTATCAGACTAAAAAATGAACTGATATTATTTTATTTACAATGTTTGGCTTCACTTTATAATACATTATATATAAATATATGAGATTCAGTTACATTTATGATATATATGAAATTCATATAAACATATTTCAATAAGGCATAAGCAATTTTTATGAGTAGATATTTTTGCTCTGGGATTGTGAAGAAGCTTGCATGTGAGTTTCTGCAGAATATTTGAATGTTAATTTTCAATAAAACACATGCATCTATTGGACATATTAATATGAGCCTGTACAAAACCACACATGGTGATACATAGCATTTAAAGACAACCAAAGCAAAATTACTGCAATTAAAACCCTTATATCTGAGCTAGTCATTTAGTACTCTAACATCATGCTGCATTCTTGTAATCTTCCTGAACAGGTCCTTGGAGTCTGTTGCCACAAAAAAATTTTTTTTATATTGACAATAATTTGTCCTGCAGGTGTCAGACTTCTACAGCTTCAATATTCGGTGGTAAATGAGACCTTTTGTTTACAGAAAGCATTTGTGTGTTACAATGACAACTATGGCATAAAGGCCTGGAGAGTGGAGAAAGAGATGGACAAACTCACGTGCAATGCAAGATATGTTGCATTTCCTCTTATCTATAGGAAATAAATTGAAATGGAACATAGAAATTGGGTTAAAAAGTGTCATATCACTGGGGGTTGCCATGGTGATAAGTGAAACCAATTTGGAAAAAAACCATAAAATTCATAAATGAACATATTTGGAAGGTGATATTTTTAATGTATATTTTGAGTCATGTTTAGGCTATGGTTACCTAATTTATTTGACAGAGTACAGAATATTTAAAAACATGAAATCTGCATTTGAAGAAATTTCCCTTGAGAATATCAAGATATGATTTAAAGGAATTTTGTTCAGTAACTAATAGAATATAAATATCAATAAAATTACATTTTGCCTTAGATATTTTGTCGCCTTTCTAAATAATTTTATTTTTCAGTTTTGTTTTATGATAGAAATGAGAGGCTTTGCAGATGGATCTTTCATTCACTAAATATAATGAAAACACCTACAATAACCTCTAAGCATATTCCTGTTTAAACCAACTGTTTGTTGAACAAGGGGAGATGAGAGTGGGCGGGATAGAGATGTGCTCTAACTAAAACCAACTCATTTCTAGAAAACCAGGCACACAGAAGACATACACACAGCTGCCTGTAGTCACAGCCTCAAACCTCATTGAACTTAAGTTATGTGTCATATCAAAATATCAATGTTCTAGCGAAAATTGTGTGAGTGAGTTTAGTTTTACACCGCTTTTAGCAATATTCCAGCAATATCACGGCAGGGGACACCAGAAATAGGCTCCACACATTGTGCCCTAGTGAAAATGATCCTAATCAATGCCTAACCTTAAATATTGAAACTTTACAGAGAAGTGTGACTTATTTGTAAAATCAATGTTCTGCTTTGTTGTGCTAAATAACGACAGCAAACACTTACATAACTAGCCTGACACTACCACTAACCCAAGACCTACCTAGCAGTAACATAATGCTACAAGTAACCCTAGCCCTACCCAACACTAATGTAACACTATAACTAACCCAAGACCTACCTAGCAGTAACATAATGCTACAAGTAACCCTTGCCCTACCCAACACTAATGTAACACTATAACTAACCCAAGACCTACCTAGCAGTAACATAATGCTACAAGTAACCCTTGCCCTACCCAACACTAATGTAACACTATAACTAACCCAAGACCTACCTAGCAGTAACATAATGCTACAAGTAACCCTTGCCCTACCCAACACTAATGTAACACTATAACTAACCCAAGACCTACCTAGCAGTAACATAATGCTACAAGTAACCCTTGCCCTACCCAACACTAATGTAACACTATAACTAACCCAAGACCTACCTAGCAGTAACATAATGCTACAAGTAACCCTTGCCCTACCCAACACTAATGTAACACTATAACTAACCCAAGACCTACCTAGCAGTAACATAATGCTACAAGTAACCCTTGCCCTACCCAACACTAATGTAACACTATAACTAACCCAAGACCTACCTAGCAGTAACATAATGCTACAAGTAACCCTAGCCCTACCCAACACTAATACAACACTACAAGTAACTCTAGCCCTACCCAACTATAAAGTAATACTACAATTTACCCTAGCCCTACTCAACAGTAATATAACACTACAACTAACCCTTGTCTTATCCAACACTAATGTCGGACTGACTGACTGAGTATGGTTTTATGCCGTTTTAAGCAATATTCCAGCAATATCACAACGGGGGACACCAGAAATGGGCTTCACATATTGTACCCATGTGGAGAATCGAACCCGGCCTTCGGCGTGACTACTTTAACAACTAGGCTACCCAACTACCTCCAACACTTGCCTTATAACACTAATGTAACACTAACACAACAACACTAATATAACACTACAATTTACCCTAGCCCTACCCAACACTAATGTAACACTACAATTTACCCTAGCCCTACCCAACACTAACATAACCAAACATTTACATAACACTAACTTGACACTACTGCTTGCACTAACATTACTACAACCTAACTCTGACACTAACACTAACCAGTAACCCCAACCCAAACATGATGACCTGATCAATGAATTACACAAAAAGATTCAGAAATCTTAGACTGAGGTGTGAGGTTGTGACAGCAACAATATGCAAATCAGCAGGTGAAGGTTTTACATAAAATGATGTTAGTAAAACATCATAACATCACATAGACTTTAAACATTCTCTGCATACAACAAAGCAAAGAATATCCATTCCTAACATTTATAGTAAGGACATAGCATCAAACCATCTGTAAATATCATCCTTATCATAAAATTAAATTTGCAATGATTCAGCAAACTTTCACTGAAAAAACACTACATTTCTATCATATTTTAACATCCTCTATGAACCCTCCTCCAAAGACACAGCCATTTTCTAAACTTGGCAATGTTTAAATATTATTTATATTTCTATGTAATAAGATTGATATCACCTTTATTTCAATAAACTGATTTTAACTGACATGACCCAAAACAAAGAGTTTAAGAAAGAAGAAGGAGAGAGTCGATACAAAGAGAAAATAGAAACATAAGACGATGATAGTACTTACTTGTCTGTTTTTTGGTTGGTTCTGATTCTTCTTTCCAATCAAAATCCGAATCGCTGTCGTTATTTTTCTCGCTGTCACTCAACTCATACTCGGAGTGTGTATGGCTGTTATGGGTGGTATCACACTCACTCTGAGACACGCACGACACTCGTTTCTCGCCAACAATATCCACAAGCAGATGATCTGCAAATAGGCCTGTGAATGAAGATCACAGTTCAAATATGATTTTCAGTGTCACAAAACACAAACCAAAGCCAAAGGGAAAGCACTGAAAACCATCTGCCCGTCTGTATGCCCTATTCTTAATCAAACGATTTCGTCAAATTTTCAAAAGGTTCAGTTTCTTTAGTGTCCATTAAGCCTGAAGAAATATTTTATTTCCAAAAGTCAGACAAAAATATAGGAAATTAATTTTATTTCTTCTATCCTGCTTTTTCCACAGCATCAGTTGGTTAATGTCGATTCCATTTTCATGGTTTTATTTCCATGTTCAAGTATATAATCATTCTTTTCGAAACGTTTGGTTATTTTCGTCTACTTCCACTCTCACCAAACATTTACGTCCATCAAGGAGAACAACTTTGAAAGAAGGATATAAAAGACAGATGAAAATACACATCAGTTATGAAAACTTATATTTAAATTGTAAAGAACATGCATCCTTTTCAAAAAAAATAATAAAAACCTGATAGTTATAAAAGTTCCGGAAAAAATATATTCAATGTTCATTTTTTCACAAAGAAGACATGATGCCCTCTTTAACCTGATGTGATGAAAAATGTTAAAATTTACAGAACTAAATACAATACACGAGAGATATCAACACGTTAACTTTACATCAAAACTGAAAAAGATGCATGCTCCCTACCTATTCATACAAAAAGACAATAGTTAACTTTGAGAATATTCTGCAAATAAGTACAAATAGCATACCAAGTCACGTTACATACAAATGCCATATTTCTTCCACAAAATGAAAATAAAATAAACATACTGATTTCAGGCATAAACGACTCCAAAATTTCTCTCACCTCTACAAAAAGCACAGGCACTTTGCATGTTATAAAATAATTGCGATATTTTTTTTTAACTATCGAATGATGGGAGGAAGTATGGCATATACAATATAATATCAGCAAACAAGAATTAATCACTGAGTCATTAACAACTAGTGTTTCTGTTTTTATCAAAACATATGATTCTTTTCTTTGTTTTCGACAGAATTAAGCTTGTTTGCTGATGCATAATCTTTGTAAAAGCAAGAATTATTTAGAAATGTCAATAATGAAATGTTGTTCTCTTGTTTTTGTTCAAGTTTTAATAGAAATTTAATTATTTTTTTCGATATTGTTTTTTTGAAAATGTTCAATAAAGAGATCAAAATATTTTGTTTTTAATCATACAAAACAAGTTTGGCAACATTTCCACATATGAGAGCTCTAACTAGGAGTTGTTCTTTTGCTGGCCAGAACTTTCAAAATTGGACAAATAATCCAAATAATTACAATATCATTCATAAATTTACTATTTTATGCTTCATATTTTGAAATCATCATCAAAAGATCTGATCAGCATGGGAGAAGTATGGAGAAATTAAAATGGTACCAAACTGGTAATATTAGAAAAAATATACAGGACTTTACAAGATCAATACTTTTATGAAGACAACCAGATAGAAAAATGCACGCATCGAGAAATAAACGACAGGAAATTCGACATCGTTCGAGGTCTACGGTGAGGCTTCGGAGGTGAAGAGAAGTTGTAGTGTAAACGTTATCTGCCCTCACTGCTTGTCATGTGACGTGAATCAAGCCACTGGATTGGCTAAAAAGCTGAGGAAAGCATGCTGTGCACAAACGAAAAGCAGTGTAGGAAAAGATACAGTGCTCCCATTTCATGAATTTGAAAAACTGAAGAATCACTTGAGCTGATAAATTTGAAATTGAAGTCTCAAAATTGTAATAGACAGTATAAAAGAAATTCATTCAAACATAAGACTGAAATTATGTGAAAGACAAACAGATTCACATTTCAAGGGAGCACAGTACCATGGCTAGAGAATTACAGATTAAACTATGTATTTACATCAAATCTACTTCTAAAACTAATGTTTACTAACGGAGAGAGTGACATCTATCAACCAATCCACAAACGGTAAAAAACAAACAATTTGGAAAAAATGATTTGAAAGAAACATAAATGTTGTCTGTGATTTCTGGTAAACCTGAAAAGTGGGGTTATATGTTTTCCATCTGTGGTAAAAGCAGGATACAAGACAAAAATGTGAATGACATGAACTGAGACTGTGTTTAAAAAAATTAGGTAAAATTCAATTCAATTGTCATAATACCTAAAACTATATTTGTGATCTAGGAAATGCGTATATATGTGTCATTATAAAAGAAATCTCTACTGGATATATGACAAAGCAGCAGACAGACAGCCAAGTTGATGCCAAATCCCAATAAATATAGAGAAATCAATCTAACCAGGCAATTGTACTATGAACAGCACACTGGGTTTTGGAGATCAGATTTTCACATCACCTCCACCAACCCCCTCACCCACAAGTCTCAAAACATATTTTTTTATCTTAATTGTAATCGTTCTGTGAGGTTGAGGTAAATCTGTCTTTTTAATGCATGGAAACGGACTGTTTCCAAAACTTAGCGTTATCATCATCTTAACTTTTATGTTAATTATTTGAATTAAGTTGATAATAAAATATATTATATTTTCTGGTGAATAGGCTCCAGAACCCAGTGTTGCCGTTTTTGAAATTTACCTGTTGTGTCACAGTGACCTGTCAATCACTCATGTATAATTATGTGCAGCAACTTAGTGCTTGTGTGAATCACATACAATGATTTTCCAAAGACCAACAGAGATGATACATTGTTTCACATGAACTCAGATAAATTACTGTTAATAGATACTATGAAGAAAGCCATAAAATATTTCCTTACCATTATGAATATTAATAATAATATATTACTAGTATTAAGTATTAATATAATATAAAAGTGTTAATTATGTCTTTGGAAAACCTTTGCCCTGCAGAACAGACACTAACTTCAGAGGTTATCTTAGAATTGTCTTTATGATGGTTAATTTGGTCTCAGCACTGCAGTTAACAATTACACAACAATGATATATTTATGATTCAAATGCTCAGCTCATTTAACCTTAAAATACCATGAAAACATATTCTTTAACACAATTAGAAAAATATTACATCACCCCGCTATCATTTAAACCAATGTATCTGTATATGGTAGAAACTAGGTCAAAGTAATATGAAATGATTCCTGTAACATGAAACATATGTGAAGTCAATGTCTGCTCCAAATATCATGAAAAGAAATGGGAAATGCAGAACTGTTTCTGAACAAGTTTTGTTCTACTGGCTACCCAAATCACTGAACTATTTCAAAACTACTCATGTTCATGTTTCTTTGGAAGACATTCAGGAATTCAGAGGATGTTCTAAAGCACAAACACTAATATTCTGCTTGGAAATTTACTATTGTCAACATTCTAAGACCTGAACATTCCAGAACAGTTCCAAATCTAATATGGAAAATGCTAATTCCATGCAGTATCTAAAATCTGATTTGCACAAATTTTGAATGGATTTCCACAAGCTTCCATTTCTTTTTGTGTGGTCATGTGATGTGGCTGGAGCAGGAGGGGAGATAACTCACCTTTATCTACAAGCGATTGGAGTTTATTGGTATCAGTGTCGACATTCAGCAGTAAATTTGAGGCGGCAAGGGCAGCGTTCTTTGCGCCATGCGCATCGAGAACCTCAGGGAGAGAGGGCATATTTTTGGCACTACCCATAGCCCCGCAATTAAAGGACGATGTTCGACTCAAAGAATAATTGGCAGTGAGGTGGTTGGGCGAGGGTAGGGGTTTGAACAACGTCGGTGTCAAAGCCTCTGCTGCATACGGCAATGTGTTTAAGGATTCCGAAGAAGGATTAAGACTATTGTTGTTACTCGGTAACATTAAGAAGTTGGGTCGTCGTGGTGATGATATAGGATCCACATCCGAAGCCTCAGGACTGGCACGTGGAGCTTGTGCACTATCCAAAGAAGCGGCCCGAGAGGGGAAGATATCCGGTGTCACGATGTTCAAGTGGTGGTGATGATGATGTTGATGATGAGGTTGATGTAAATACACTGTTTGAATACCTTTCTTCCTGTTTTTCTTCTTGCGTAAAGATATAGCTTTTTCTGGGTTAACTTTTCGCTGCCTTTTGCCTCTATTTCTATAATAATATCGTATAAGTTTCCGTTTTGCTCTCCTGCCGTAATGCACAAGAAGTTTCAAGAGCTCCGAGTAACAGCCCCCTGGTTCGGAGTTGCTTGCTATAGTGCTTGAAGACTGGTAACGCTTTCTCTCTTGCAGCATCCGCTCAGTCTCTCGTTTCTTGGTTTCAGAAAATTGAGTTGCTATGACAACTAAACACAGGTTGATCATAAAAAATGAGCCAATCTGGAATGAAAATTAAATATGAAAATCAAATGAAAATCATAAATTTTAAATGATATCTTGTATGTTAACTACCATATATGCCTACAAATCACAACAAGCGATGCCTTTAATAAGAAATTGCAATTAAATAAGCCTGCAAGAGGAATGCCAAATATCTTTGCCTACAAATGGAAATGCCAACTATCCTTGAGTACAATTGAAAAATCACCTAGCAATGCCTACAATTGGAAATCCCAACTATCCCTGCCTACAATTGGATATCCTAACTATCCCTGCCTACAATTGGATATCCTAACTATCCCTGCCTACAACTGGATATTCCAACTATCCCTGCCTACAACTGGATATCCTAACTATCCCTGGCTACAACTGGATATCCTAACTATCCCTGCCTACAACTGGATATCCCAACTAGCCCTGCCTACAATTGGAAATTCCAACTATCCTTGCCTACATTTGGAAATCCCACCTAGCTATGCTTACAAATGGAAATTCCATCTAGCTATTGCTACAAAAGAAAATCCCATCTATCCGTGCCTACAACTGGGTATCCTAACTACTCCTGCCTACAATTGGAAATTCCAACTATCCTTGCCTACATTTGGAAATCCCACCTAGCTATGCTTACAAATGGAAATTCCATCTAGCTATTGCTACAAAAGAAAATCCCAACTATCCTTGCCTACAGTTGGAAGTCATAATATTTCACCGTATTTATGGATATTTACCAAACATATCATGTAGCGTTCGAGGTGGAGTAAACAGTACGGTGAAGTAAACAGCTGACAAACCCAAAATCATGATCACAGCAAATCTTAGTTTGAACCCAGGATTTGTTGATTATGGATAACTAAGGATGGTTCTGAGACCACTAGGCTACCCGTGCCATCCCTGATTAATCAACTGGCATTATAAAATGCCAGACGTGTTTGAGCATCAGTTTTTGGCATCAATGCAGAAGGACATTTTGAAACCTTCTGAATGTCACACTTACCACAATGAGAGCAACGAAGTAAGTCCAGTCCCAGAAAGAATGAGCGTCTTGAACATAGTACATAATATTCACCCACCCAGCTTTCTAAACTTATCACCTACATGATATTGACCCAGCTTTCTAAACTTATCACCTGAAACATACAGTGAGCATCTTGAACATAGTACATGATATTCACCCAGCTTTCTAAACTGGGTAAATAAATAATCAACTGATCACTTTAGTTATTTACAAAGCATAAAAAGATATTTTCAAGGTTTTCAAACACTCACAATCAGGAAAATAGAATTAGGAATTTAAAAAGAACAATGATTATGAAAAAAATAAATATATGTTTTATGCAATCATGAAAAAGAAAAATGTTATCACTGTCACATCCTCTTCCTATTGACTCACCTGAAAAATAGCTACCCATGCTAATCCTATATTGTCAAATGATATAGCTCCCCGGAATGGATTCTTGTCTCCAGGTTGACATGTTGAATAATACTGATTCCAATTGACGCAGGACTCGGATGTTGGCGTGTTATTGCTGTATTCCTTGGCAGTACCATTGCACTTAAATCCTTCAAATTCAAATGGCGGTATTTCCCCGCAAGTCCGCATCCCTGACATTCCCGCCTTGCTGCAGATGTAATCACCCTTCTTAGGCTGGTAAAACCAGTTCAGATTATGTCTGTAATAGAGGAGAAGATATAGAGGCTTTGTGATTTAACAAACCTGGAAGGGAGTGGGTGAATGGATGTTTGGGTGGGTGTATGGTTGAATGAGTGAGGGGAAGTGAGAGTGAGTGAATGAATGGATGTGTTGGTGGGTGTGCGGTTGAATGAGTGAGGGAGAGTGTGGATGGGTGTGTGAGTGAATGAATAGATGTGTGGTTGAATGAGTGAGGGAGTGTGTGGATGGGTGTGTTAGTGAATGAATGGATGTGTGGGTGGGTGTGCAGTTGATGAGTGATGTGGTTGAATAGTGGATGTGTGTTGGGTGTGTGTGTAGATGAGTGAGTGAGTGGTTGAATGAGTGGATGCATGGGTGGGCCCGTTGGGTGGTGTGTAGATGAGTGAGTGAGTGAGTGGGTGGGTGAATGAGTGGATGCATGGGTGGGCCTGTTGGGTGGTGTGTGGATGAGTGAGTGGGTGAATAATGGATGCGTGGGTGGGCCTGTTGGTTGGTGTGTGTGTGGATGAGTGAGTGAGTGGGTGAATGAGTGGATGCATGGGTGGGCCTGTTGGATGGTGTGTGGATGAGTGAGTGAGTGGGTGAATGAACGGGTGGGCCTGTTGGGTGGTGTGTGGATGAGTGAGTGAGTGGGTGAATGAGTGGGTGGGCCTTTGGATGGTGCTTGGATGAGTGAGTGAGTGAGTGAGTGGGTGGGCCTGTTGGGTGGTGTGTGGAAGAATGAGAAGTGGATGAATGAGTGAGTGGGTGAAGTGAGTGAGTGGGATGAATGTGAGTGGGTGGGCCTGTTGGATGGTGTGATGGATGAGTGAGTGAGTGGGTGAATGAGTGGGTGTGCCTATTGTATGGTGTGTTGATGAGTGAGAGTGAATGAGTGGGTGGGCCTGTTGGATGGTGTGTGGATGAGTGGGTGGGTGAATGAGTGGGTGGGCCTGTTGGGTGGTGTGTGGATGAGTGAGTGAGTGGTTGAATGAGTGGATGCATGGGTGGGCCTGTTGGGTGGTGTGTGGATGAGTGAGTGAGTGAGTGAGTGGGTGAGTGAGTGGGTGAGCCTGTTGGGTGGTGTGTGGATGAGTGAGTGAGTGGATGAGTGTGTAAGTGGTTGAGTAAGTGGATGGGTGAATGGTTGGATGTGTGAGTGAGAGGTTTGATTGGTGAATGGTTGAGTGAGTGGGTGAATTGCTGGATGAGTGGTATATTACATGTTTGAGTGAATGGGTGGATGGATGAGTAAAGGAGCTGTTTTGTGTTTGTTAACACCACAATCACTCTACACACATAAGCACGTACATTAGCCAGGATCATACAAACTAATGGTTCATATTATGATCACCATCAGAATAGAGAGGCATGTACTCAGCAGTCCCTAACCTGATCCACGTTAAGATACACATGATTGTCATGCATGAGACACACAGGCCCTGTTTTGTCCTTCACAGTCACGTTGCTACTAAATGTATTGTACTGTTGGTCAATATACTTCTTCCAAATTCACATTTAATTCTTTTATTGAGAATTCCAAAATTTGTCAGGCAAATGGTAAAAATACCATTTTCTTTCAAGTATTGATAATTTTATTGTTCTTTTAAGTTTGCATTTTATGTCATAATGTATAACTAAGCATTTCTCCTCTACTGGTTCTCTTACCAGTGAAATACAAGTTGTATATAATCAGTGTAGGAAAGATAGCCCGTCCCAACGTCTGAGACGGGTAAATTTTGTGGAGGACGGGTTAAAAAAATATCTAGTCCGTCCTCATGTCGGGTCAATTTTAGCAAACCAATGACATATATGTAATGCTTATAACCTTTTTGAATATTTACTGCCGAAGGTGTTTTATTTATATTTGGAGGACAGGCTGGATTTTGGCAGGACTGGTAAAAAATTTGACCTGCCAGTCCTGTGGACAGGCTAGATTTTCTACATCTTTCCTACACTGATATAATATTGATAATTAAATAGCTTTCCTATGCTGGATACCATGCTCAGTGAGTGAGCTTAGTTTTACGCCGATTTTAGCAATATTCCAGCAATATCACAGCGGGGAACCTAAAATTGGGCTTCACACATTGTAGCCATGTGGGGAATCGAACCCGGGTCTTTGACATGACAAGTGAACACCTTAACCACTACGCTACCCCTGCCCTGCTACCATGCTGAAAGTGCACAGAAAAACATCCCAATCATTCTGTTTCATTCCCAGCTCCCTGGGGAGAATACAACTCAAGTTGCTTTCAAGGCGTATTTCCAACTCACAACATGAAAAAAAACATTTTCAAAGAACATGACAAGAAAAATCAATGACATACTTACACATATGTAATATTTTCCCCAATATCTAAAAAACATCTGTTTCGTAGCACCCCTGCCCATAACTGTACACCGATGATCCCGAATATAAAAAAGACGAAGAAACACAACAAGAGAACATTCCCCAGCATGGGGAGGGTGTCGAGGAGGAGCATCACCAGGATACGCATGCCTGAAACAGGAAGAAGAGTTAGTGAGTCATTTGGGTTCGAAGCCATTTTAAGCAGTATTCCAGAAATATATCGGCAATTCAGATAAATATGCAAATGAAGCTGAAACTCATTGGTGATCATAATGAGAATGAATCATGGATTCAAACCCACAAACAGACTATAGACAATAGTGATGGAAATAACTCATGAAAAATGTGACTTATATGGCAGGGCAGAGATGCTCCCAAACAAAATATACACTCAAGTAGCTGGCTAGCTATTCTCGAAAAGTTCGTAGCCCTACAAACTTCTTAAGCCCATTCTTAACACACTGACTACGATCAAAGTTAAGAATTATTAGGGCTACGAACGTTTCGAGAATAAGGCCCCTGGATATGAATCAGAGAGGCATTGCAGGTAATTGTATGCGAGGATTATGTTTGGCAGGTAAGTGTCTGAGTGTTTTGCAGCAAGGCACACCACTTCCACATCATCGAGTACATCAGAATAAACCAGAGTTGACAACTGACCCACATCATTGGGGAAGAATGAAACAGGCAGTTCATGTATTGTAACCGAGTGGTCCATGTTTGTCTCTGCTTTGAGCAGTCTACCAGTCTTGAAGTGATGCACATCTCAGATATTGCGAAGTCCATGAACAAGGGACAAACCAAGTAATATAATCAGATCAAAGAAGGATTCGAACATCTGATATCTGACACACTACACAGCTAACTGCAGATCCATTCCTGTTGCCATGGCATTCTGAAGTTTGTTTGTTGTTTTAGCACCACACTCCGCAGTATTCCAGCTTGGAAATATTGAATCCAGTGATCGATATTATGAACATCAATCTACACATCAAAGTACATGTTATGAACCATGTCATCAAGTTTCATCACCTAATCCATCACATTTTACACTCAACACATCTGGCTGGGGACCAGTTTTCATGATGTATCCGTTTCGGGGGATATTCTGAAGTATTCACAGCATAATGACATTTCAAAACCTTACTTGTCCAAACATCATTTTGGTGGCGATATGTGTAAAAGAGATTTTTGAAGTTTGGTCTGATAAATTGCTGTTACTGGTGTTCCATAGACCATCAACAATGGTTGACATTGAGAACACTCATGCTGTTGCCTCTCTGAACATAATGTAAATGCTTGTGGCATTTCTAAGCAATGGTTTCAGAAATGGCTGGCACTGTCAACCATTTAAATAGTGTCTTGAATCTTGAAAAAAAAAATCAGTCATGGCTGGTATCCTTGACAATTATGATTGAAACGTCTCACAAACTGGTTCAATATTGACCTGCATGATTCAGATTTACATTGGATAGCATTTCTCACAAACTGGTTCAGTAGTGACTTGCAATTGCATAAGTCACTGCACAGTTTTACATTGGCTGGCATTTTTCAAAAACTGACTCAATAGTGACTTGAATCCCTCACAAACTAGTTCCTAAGCATCCTGCATCTTTAAACAAACAGGACTGTCTTTTCATAAACTGGTCCAATGGTGACTTGCATCCATGCTGAACAGCGAAGACAAAGTGTCGGTTTTGTACAGTATATCCATAATAACATTCTGGCACTAGTCAATGGGAAGTGACAGATACCTCAGCAGACAGACATAGCACTGGCTTCAGATTCACTGCCAGATTGCTGGGATGAAATTCCAGATGTAAACATGCCAGTTGAACGCAAGTGCCTGGGAGAGTGCACTTCAGCTTTTCTTTTGTCTTTAATTAAAACAAACTGCTGAGAACATTGTGACATAATTTGATGTTTTTATCCTCCACTGTTTTAATGTCCATTTTTACAAACCGATGTTGGTGCTGTCCAATGCACTGATCCAATATTTTGATGATGATGTTCACTACATTCACACTGGGTACTCCATCCTTGTTTGTGAGTGAAACACAGTAAAATATTCCTGATCCTTCGGTTGAAGTCCAGCTGAGGAGGTTGCAGATATCTCTGCAGCTAGCAGACACTCTATTTGACTACAAATCCCACTCATAAAAGAAGCTTTACCTTGAGAGACAATGTAGCTTAAACGCATACCATAACTTCATCTTAAGGGGATCATATTATTAATTTCTGACACTAAATGATGCTTCATCTTTTGGAATTCTATAGTTTATACTCAGGCCAAACAGATGCATCTTATTTAAAGCATCACATTGTTTAAACTCAGCCCCCTATGTGGCACAGAGCCAAAGTTTGAGGGCCTTCTGGTTTCAAAAGGGAATGCATTTCTATACATCCAACAATATCTAGTGAAGATCTGGTTAGAATTGTTCTTCAGCAACCCATGCCTGTGGTAAGAGGCGACTAACGGGATCGGTGGTCAGGCTCGCTGACTTGGTTGACATATGTCAATGTATCCCAAATGTGTAGATCAATGCTCATGATGCTGATCACTGGATTGTCTGGTCCAGACTCGATTATTTACAGACCGCCGCCATATAGCTGGAATATTGCTGAGTGCGGCGTTAAACAACAAACAACAAACGTCATCACCACCACCACCATCTACTTACTGGGTATTCTGTTGATGGCCCTCAATGGACGAAGCACACGGATTGTTCTTATTGCAGATATGCTGAGGTTTTCTGTATCGATGCCATATTCCACAGCTCTGAAATAGATGAAGTGTTTCATCACTTGTATGAAATATATATCGTATCCACACTCTACTGTCAACACCACTGTCATCAGATTCCTGTGAAACAAACAAGTCAGCGTTGTGCTCTCCACATAATGGAATAGAAAAAGAAGAATTAAGTCACATTTATACTTATGAATAAACATTGGGTTTAGGTTTGTCTAAGCAGTTTTACATATGGAACAAAGGTTTACTTGAAATCACATCCTGAATGTACTTTCAAAAGCTAATTAACCATTCAGTAAGCTCTAAATTTTCCAGTTTCAGATTTAGTAAGTCAAAACATGGAACACATAAATAAAACACTGTCTTAAAAATGGCATGTTTAGAAAGTTTTAAGTGAATTGAATTGAAATATATACAAATATTCATAACAACTGAAATGGTTGGATCACAAAAACTATGGATTCATTTAATTGCTTTCTGAACTCACACATATACCTCTGTCACAGCAGTTACCTCCCTTACACCATTGTCTGCACAATATTTCAAAATCTTTTCTCTAACAGTTGCATACATCATGAAATATTCCGAAGAACAAACACTGTCAGGAAAATGAATCATGACTCATGATCCCCACTGATCCAATGGTTGGATCCTTTTGTTGTCAACCCTATGGTTGTCGTCAATCCCTCTTGAGCATGATGGTTGATTCCATTTCCCAATAACATGTACATGATAAAAAAACTGTCAGTGCTCTTTCTCTGAACATTTTAAACGTGCTTTACATTCTCACCTAAATTTGACTTCTCCGTCAATCCTTAACACCCTGTTGTACCCTCTCGGGTTCCTGACTTGGACACTCTATACCGGTACTTACAGACCTCCAGCAATGAACACCCTTATCTTCCAAGGTGTGATCTGGCATTAGAATTCCTTAACCTTGTGAACACCCTCTCCAACAAACCTTGACCAAGTGAACACCTTCTCCTACAAACCCTGACTCAGTGTTGAACACCTTCCACAAATCTTGAACTAGTGAACACCTTCTCTGTAAACTCAGTAAATAACTGTCATCTCCTTAAAAGTCTTGTGTTGGTGGTGAACACCCTCTCACACAACCAGTGACTCAGTGGTGAACATCTTCTATCACAAACTGTGGCTTGGTGAACACCTATCACAAGCTGTGACTCGGTGGTAAACACCCTCTGTCACAAGCTGTGACTTGGTGAACACCTCCAACAGGCTGTGACTTGGTGAACACCTCCAACAGGCCGTGACTCAGAGGTGAACACCCATTCCAACAGGTTGTGACAGAACATCTGCTGTCAATCAGTGGTGAACACCTCCTTCCACAAGCTGTGACCTGGTGAACACCTCCTTCCACAAGCTGTGACTAGGTGAACACCTACCCCTGACACCACCTAGCCAGAGGTAAACACCCTCTGTGACACAATCCCTGACCTCATGATGAACACATCAACCGCAAACATTTTAAAGTATTGCAAAACAACCCTAAAACACTAGATTTACCATAATATCTGGCACTTGCAGTGCCCTGTTTTTCAGTACCTTCAAGGAATTACAATCTTTTCTAAACACACTGAACAAATCTGGCCTGAAATCAAGATTTCTAACAAGCATTCTGTTTTACTTAGTCTGAAAATAACCAGCAAATGTGTAGAAGATAATGACATGCACTTTATTGATGACATAAGAGAGACACAAAACACAAAGCTGTAAATGTAAAACAAAATGGCTTTGTCTCTTTTGATGAGTTTGGCAATTCCCTCTAAACAGTCGATTACTCAGAAAATAAACACAGTTAGGACTTTGTAACCTTCTGGAATTCACCAAGCATTCCTCGATTCAACCAGCAGCAAGATCCCACAGGAATTTAATGACAAACGCGTTAACACCTTTCTATTCAATCAGCTGAAGATCAACAGGCGATTATACCTCTGTGAAGAATGCATGCTCTCATAATGGAACACAGTGAAAATCCACACTAAATTCAGTTGTGTGATTGTTAATTTTCCGTTACTGGGCAACAGGCATCATGCAAAGCGCATGCAAAGCGTTGTCAAAGGAACTGGGGACTGGTCATTCAAAATCAATATAATTCAGTCATTCACAGCATGCACAGAGTAGATGGCATTTATACCAATGATGAAATAGCAATATGGTGTTGGTCTCAATGGAAGTCCATTCTTGTAATGGCATCATCAAATATTAATTCTTCTAATATCAACATTACTAATCTTACATACTATAACCACAGAAGTTTGTTTAACATGATGATGACCTGACATGTTTCGCACAATCGTAAAACACAAAATTTTATTTGGTGTCATGATTTAAAAATATTCAGCAAGAACCTGCATGAAACAATTGTTTTCACAACACAAGATATTTATTTTGTCTCTATGATGCATCAGTCTGTGAATCAATCCTCCCTTCCAGGAATCACCCATACCAATATGGTTGCCAGTCAATACATGTCCTATTTCCTCATTCATGTAATGCTACTTTCCCAATGACTGATTAAAACGCCCATCTTATTAACCTATATTGATTCAATTGTTTGAATATCGACTGTACTTAGAAAAAACAGGAAAATACCAGGAAATAGTATTTCTGATAACCCGTTTGAAAAATGTCTCCAATAACTGTTTCATTAAAAGCCAATAAATGCATATTTATGCAATCCTCAGAGTGTATGCGAAGAATACCTTATGTGGTTCATGCTCTGTATGATTGATTTCTGTCTGTGGAAAGTTTGTATTCCAATGTTGGTCTATTGAACATGAACGGAGCCAGTCTTTGATAGGCCTTAATTATGCATGGTCCCATAGTTAAATTATGATTTTCAGGAATTTTAAGTGGCGAGAATTATTTAATTACATTTATAAGTTTGCAATTAACTTTCAGGTTGCATGAAGGAAAGAAAGAACTACATGTGTAACACAACAATTTGTAAATGCCATTAAAACATTTATAACATTGATCATGATGCATGCATAGAAGGAAAATTGGAACTGATGCAGGAAAATCTGTATGAGTGAGGGCTGATTGTATTTTGGGCTGCAGAACATATTGAACATCATGACCCTGATGGGCGTTGGATGACAATAGGCAGGAGAAGGAGAAGGTGGTTCCATGTAGTACAAGGTTATAAACTTTATGGATTTAGGTGGAACTGGGGGTTTGGGATTTGACCTTGACCTTGTTTACCATGCAGAATGAAATAACTGTTCTTCGCATGTGGATTTTGGGAAAGCTAGAATCTGTTAAGCAGAGGCTTCATATCTCACATGCCTCTGACACATGCAACAGAATCATTGTGGAAGGACACATCTATTATGAAGATCTTTCTCAAACCTGTTCGACAGACAGTATCAGATAGTGATGTTCTTGGACTGACTGTGCTGTCCAATGTATCAAGTCACAATTCTTTAGAATACTTTGATGTTAAAACATCAGTGTGGATTAGAACCTTCAAAGGATCATTTCATATTTAACTCATGGATTTGCTTATAATAAACTGACAAAATATAAGTAATTATTAATTTAAAAAACATTACTCAATGCTTCCTTAGTTGAGATGGCATCCTTCCTCAGCTGAGCTGGCATCCTACCTGGCATCCTGGCATCCTGATCCTTATATCTGCTAGTTTCAAAGAACAGCAAATAGTCTTGTCATGACAGAACAGATACAACTATACATGGTTTTCAATGCAGAGCCAAGTTATCTGGAAATCTGAAACCTGCATGTTGTCTGATTGGTTCTAAATTTAAGTGCTTTCAAATATGGACAAAAGGCATTCAAAAATGAGCATTAAATTTAAAAGATTCATTGTGTCGGTGTCGTAATTAAATAATTTGGTCTGTCGGACTTGAGAAACAAGAGATACATGGATGACAGATGGAATGTTAAATCAAAGATGGAAAATAACACCTTACGTAGGTGGGAACAGTACAGGTAGACTGAAGAACATTTCTGTGGTCAACATCACATCACATCAATGGTAGGTTGAACATCGCATCTAACATAGACAGAACTAAATCTGATGTAGACAGGATGCCATGTCAAACATGGATAGAACAGTAAGTCAGAGGTAGACAGGATGCCATGTCAAAAGGGAATAGAACAGTAAGTCAGAGGTGTACAGGATGCCATGTCAAACATGGATAGAACAGTAAGTCTGAGGTAGACAGGATGCCATGTCAAACATGGATAGAACAGTAAGTCTGAGGTAGACAGGATGCCATGTCAAAAGGGAATAGAACAGTAAGTCTGAGGTAGACAGGATGCCATGTCAAACATGGATAGAACAGTAAGTCTGAGGTAGACAGGATGCCATGTCAAACATGGGTAGAACAGTAAGTCTAGAGGTAGACAGGATGCCATGTCAAACATGGATAGAACAGTAAGTCAGAGGTGACAGGATGCCATGTCAAACATGGATAGAACAGTAAATCTAGGAGGTAGACAGGATGCCATGTCAAACATGGATAGAACAGTAAGAGGTAGACAGGATGCCATGTCAAACAGTAAGTCTGAGGTAGACAGGATGCCATGTCAAACATGGATAGAACAGTAAGTCTGAGGTAGACAGGATGCCATGTCAAACATGGATAGAACAGTAAGTCATGCCATGTCAAACATGGATAGAACAGTAAGTCAGAGGTGTACAGGATGCCATGTCAAACATGGATAGAAAGTAAGGAATCAGTAAGTAGAACAGAGGTAGACAGGATGCCATGTCAAAAGGGAATAGAACAGTAAGTCTGAGGTAGACAGGATGCCATGTCAAACATGGATAGAACAGTAAGTCTGAGGTAGACAGGATGCCATGTCAAAAGGGAATAGAACAGTAAATCAAGGGTTGAAAGAATGCCATGTGAAACGTGGATTGAATAGTAAATCAGAGGTGGAAAGAATGCTATATCAAACATGGGTAGAACAGTAAATCAGAGGTAGACAGATTGTCATGTCAAAAGTGATTACGACAGTAAATTTGAGGTTTTAA